CCCTATCAGAAAGCACTTTCGGTGTTCCACTGAGGTGGAAAAATTATTTTACTAATAATAATAGTAAATTTAAAATGGCATTGAATGTTAGTACTTTATGTACTTTAAACAGATTTAAGGCCTCAGGTATTAAATAAACATCACATCGGAAAGAATATATAAAGTAGTTTAAAAACCAACCCAAACGGGCCAATGTTTCTTTTCAATTTACTGGTAAACAAATGGGGACTCCTGATGGTGCATTTGAATTGGCGGTATAGAAAACTAGTGAATTTTTCTTTTATAACAGCCATTTGTCAAACTCGCTATTGGAAAAGTCATGGGCTATAATTCCTTTCCCGTGAGTGATTGCTTGCTTGATCCATCTTATCATAGTAGATAGGTAGAGCCTTCTGTCAGTATTGTTCTCAAGTGTTACTTTGCACTTTATGATACTATTTAGATTCATATGACCTTAATTTTTCTTTTGAATCTGGTCAAGTTGTTGCTTTATGTCTATTTCTGCTCAGGTGGCAAGCCAAGAGACTTATGGAACTTTGGGTGCCATAGTGAGGAGCCAAACAGGAAGTAGGCAAGTTGGCTTTCTCACCAATCGTCATGTTGCTGTTGACTTAGATTATCCAAATCAGAAAATGTTTCATCCTCTGCCTCCAACTCTTGGGCCTGGGGCCTACCTAGGTGCCGTTGAGAGGGCAACTTCGTTCATCACAGATGAACTTTGGTACGGCATTTTTGCTGGGATAAACCCAGGTAAAATGACTTGCAATTGTGAGGTTTGTGCAATGTATGAAGCATTTGCAGGCAAACTATTTGCATGTCTTTACTTGGGAATGCAACAAATATATAATTTGTGCCTCTGTTTTAGATTTGAGGATGATGTACAGAGTCTTTAGGAGCAATTGGTAGGTGGATTGTGGTAACCATTGTAGTGTAACTGCAAACTGGTAGAGCTCTCTTAAATAGCTTTTGGTAAAACAGGATGGCTTATGGACAGTCATAATCTGATATAGGGGACAGGTGTCTGAACTAAAACCTGGAAAACGAACTGGGCCGATTCATAAATTTATATCACCGATACAAATAGTCAATCATATTATGAATGTGAGGTTGGAGAGATCTTGGGCACAGGTTTGCAATTTGGCTACTCATGAAGCACCTTTCCTAGGGTGCTTCACGTACATTTTTATCGGATCAGTGTGAAAACCTGTTACTTGTTCAATATGATCCCTATGAGTTTTCATCCTAGCTTAGGAGCTGTTATGTTGATACAATGAACATTGTATTGAGATACTCTTCTAGTATTCTTTGTGTGCATTAACTAATGAGGCTTCCTGCTTCCAGAGACATTTGTGAGAGCTGATGGGGCATTCATCCCTTTTGCTGATGATTTCGACGTGTCGACTGTTACTACATCTGTCAGAGGCATGGGGGGAATTGGTGATGTCAAGATTATAGATTTGCAGGCTCCAATAGGCAGCCTAATTGGGAGGCAAGTAATGAAGGTTGGGAGAAGTTCTGGCTTGACCACGGGAACAGTTTTGGCTTATGCTCTTGAGTACAATGATGAGAAGGGGATCTGCTTTTTAACTGACTTCCTTGTTGTGGGAGAGAATCAACAAACTTTTGATCTCGAAGGAGACAGTGGAAGTCTCATAATATTGAAGGGTGAGGGCAGTGGGAAGCCACGGCCTATTGGGATTATCTGGGGAGGAACAGCTAATAGGGGACGGCTAAAACTAAAAGTCGGCCAGCCTCCTGAAAATTGGACCAGTGGAGTAGATCTTGGACGTCTCCTCAATCTTCTTGAACTTGATCTAATAACAACCAACGAGGGGCTGAAAGGTTTGTCTTTTGGCAATTGCATAATACTTCGGCACTATTTTACTGTCTCATATTTGTCTGATCTTGAATTTAGCTGTCATGTTTCTTACTTAATCAAAGATTAAAAGAAAAACTATCTTGTTTCTAGGAACACTTGTTTTATGAACCTAATGTTGGACAGCATTCCCAGTAAGACTGGGTTGCATCTCTAGGAAAAGTGTTCCTTTTGTTTACTTTGCGGCCAGAATTTTAAGAAAGAGAATTAGAAACGGTTGTTCTTCAAAAAGAGACACAAAACATTTCAGTTGGGCGGTACAAAACCAATGCTGGAGTTACCCCTAGCGAATATATTATTTTACTAATAAAGACATCACCGGTTTTCCCTTGCACTTTATCATGAAAATGTGGATAACTGCTCGGGAACCCTTGAAGACAAATGAGTAAGTACACATGCAAAGTTGGTGGACCGTTGATGGTCGAATGCTTAAAAATTTGTGAGGTTTTTCGTAGTTTTCTTATGCAGCCGTTATTTACTTTCCTTGGGTTAACAGTGGCAGTGCAAGAACAAAGAGCTGCCTCCGCAACAGCAATCGGCTCAACTGTTGGTGACTCATCGCCCCCAGATGGCATCATGGGTAAAGACAAAACTGATGAGAAATTAGACTCCCTCGGTCTTCAGATAGAGCACATCCCTCTGGAAGTAGAACCGAGCAGCTCGGAGATGAATCCGTCCCTGATGGATCCTGACTTCACTATAGAAGATGGAATCAAGGCTGGTCCTAGCATTGAACACGAGTTTATTCCTCCAAGCTTCTGTAGATGGGCTCCTCTCCATCAGAACAAATCGCCGGACAAAATGGTTTCTCAGAATCTATCGTCACTGAGAAACAACTGCGATGAAGATGTTTGTGTCTCGCTGCAGTTGGGTGACAACGAGGCCAGGAGGAGACGTTCTGATGCTTCAAGTGACACTGGAGATCTGAAATGACATTGTACATCTACATTTGCGTGCATTCGCATCATAAAACCATGGTGCGAATCTTTAATCTCTGACTCTGCACATTTAAATTGAAGTGGACTATGTTAATTTGTGGATCAAGACTAAGTAGCCGTAAATAAGTGAGATGGTTTAGAAGCCCGTCGCCATTGGTATAGCAGGTCTCGCGGAGCTCTTCTATGAGTAGGATCACATCTTGATCACATGCTGGAGAAAAATGCTTAGAAAGTAGACCAAGAAAACAAGTTGACATTCCCGAAGACGACCGGGGGAAGAGCCACACTACGGTCATGTGAGCCTAAGACAGCACATAAGTAAATTCTCTATCTTTGAATGTGGCATGCGCGACTGCAACTCGCATAGATTTCTGAACATTAGAAGTACGACATGTCCTCAGGGGGAGATGGGGGTAACAAACAATAACAGGATTATGATCAGTATGTTGGGCCACCAATAGCATAACGGCATAAACAGCAAACATGGCGGGTTAACCGTAGAATTTATTGGGAACTAATCATTATGTTCCTTAGTTGTTGGTTAATCAACGATTTTGATGCAAACCTTTCATTGTTAATCCCTCGTTTTAATATGTTTTCCTAATCTACTGCTGTCGAGGATTAAGTATGTCCGAGGCAAGTTTGATAGATGACGCGACATGGTGACGATGGGGGCAGCAAGACGAGATAAAAATTCACTACACATGCGAAAAGGAATAGAAATATATGTTTGGTTCCTAAATTTTCATGATTTATTTAATGTAATCTTCGAACATATAACTCGTATGATCAAAGCATCGGAATTGTGAGTCTTTTCGGATCAAGGTTGGAGAGGGTCTCTGATTTTGACAAATTAATGACATGTTTGTAGATGCAAGAAAAAAGGATTAATGCAAGCAAAATTTGGTGTCATAGTTGGGTTCCTTCTAGGTTGCCGTCTCAAGCAAAACGGGGCCACATCCCCTTCATAAAATTTAGGATTTTTCTTGTATTATGAAAAATTACTGACCGAAAAGGTAATAATGACATAAAAAGCATTTTGGGGACAAAAGGATAATTTAAGAACTTGCTTTATCATTTATGATACAATAAATGAATGTTAATGCAAAATCAAACAAGTCATTCATGAAAGGAAAAGGTATTTTACGAACCCTAAAAGTAATTTACAAACTTTATTTATTTTTAATGAAACAATATGCAGTATTACTACAAAAAACCTTACGATTGAATAAGTAATTTACGAAACTAAAAGGTATCTTACGAACTCTATTTACCATATACGATCCAACATGAATACATTCGAAAACTTTTACCAAGAAGAAAGTTAACTTATGCAAAGTATCGAAAGGGTAATTTAAAAAACTTAATTTAAAAATTTATGATGCAATCTACAATAATGCAACGGTACTGAAGATTATTTTACGATCAATTTGTGCACACTTTACTAACAAAAGGTAGTTTGCGAACATTATTTGATAAGCATGATACCATAAGGAATATTACTATAGTTACTTTACGAAAGGGGAATCTACGAAACAAAAAGGTTATTTCATGGAACCCAAAGAGTAGTATGCAAACTATAATTATAAATTATTATGCCAAACGGATTATCACTACTTTAAGAACAATAGATAATTTACAAAATAAAAATTTTTCTTCGAAATTTAGTTATTATTTAGTGACTGGTTGGACTCTCATACTATGAAATCTATAGCTAAATTACTTGTCATAAAAATAAATTACGAAATGCGTACCCCCTATTTTACGACAAATTTAGGCTAATTACAATCCGTAAAGGAAAGCCACTGACCCATAAACCCAATGAACTCCTTTTAAGGAAATTATTTTCTATCAGCTAAAATTATTACTTTTAACAAAAATTATGAGTTGGCGTAACTTTCCTTATCCATAAATTACGATCTAAAATCGGTTCTCCAAATAACCAATTAAACAAATTCAATGGTTTTTTTTTTCTTTTAATGACCGTTCTTGTAAATTTAGTTGGGGAACTGTATAATTTCTTGTCATAAAACATTGAATTTGTGTCGATCAAATTATTGGAACGGTAATCGAAGACATAATTGAGGTAATTATTTTACAAAGTCTAGAATTTGATTGTATATAGTACAAGTTAGGCATCCGGAGAAAAATCATACAAAGTCAGACATTTTTTGCCCCCTTGGAAGGATGTGAAAGGAGATGACATTTTCCAAGTTCTTCATTTTTTTCTTCTCCTTTCAAAAGGAAGAGGGGGAAAAAAAAGCAAACTTGAACAGAACCCAATCGATCACAGAACTCACTTCTTGAATGTTGAACGCATCCTCTCCATCTCCTCTGATTTCTGCCAAGCCCTAATCTCAATCTTGCCTCCTTCTCATCTTCAACAATCAAAGACTGCGACTTTACTCAAATCAGCCAAAAGGGTAAGCGCTTTTCCTTCCTTCCTCTGCTCCTGTTCTTCTCTACCCTCGAAATCAGCAGTCACGAGCTGAAATTTCCTGGTTTTGCGCCACTGTTGTGCGTATCGAGACCGGCAATTCAACTTCAGCTTCTGAGTTTTCCGTGAGTTCTTGCAATTCGACTTCAAATTCTGAGTTTTCCGTGAGTTCTTGCACAGGAACGACGATCGTGTTGCTTTGGGAAATTTGTTGGGTATTGCATCTCCTTGGGTTTCGTGGTCGTTAATTATGCTGTGGAAATGATTTCGGGCAGTTGATTTTCGAATGCTTTCCTGCTGCTGGAATTGATAATAAGATAAAAAGATGCTTTTGGGAGAGGTTTGAAATTTATCCCCTTTGTTCTCCAACAATTTTCATTCGCTCCTAAGTTCGAATGGTTGGGGGGTTCGTCGTTTGACGATTCGTAACGGAACGTATCCTTTGGTAGAAAATGAATGGAGTGGAAGGACTAATTTAACAGGAGCATCCTCTGTTGCTTCAGATATTGCTATATGAATGGACTAAGAAGATGAAGATAAGTGCGCACTCTCTATAGAACTTGAAGCGGTTCTGTTCTTGTAGGAGCTCGGTTGATGAAGATGAGTGCACATGGGCTTGACTTGGCAATGTCCATGGGGAAAGGGGTTTACAAATGAAGGGTGTTGTAGGACTCATCCACCCGACTCTACCCTGGGACGGAAGATAGATTTAGCCCTATCTTTTTCACTTCAGAGTAGTGCTATTTTGATAGGAGATGTAGCGTTGTTAAGCTAGTTCACTTATCAATATGCAATTTCTCTGTGGTGTTAACGCTTTATATCCGAGGAGAACCGTTAGAATAGTCTTTAAGTGAAATGATGGCAAATAACTGTGTCATATTTTGCTTACTTGATGGGTGGTTGTTTCCTTGCCCTTCATGTTCATGTCATTGAGGAAGGATAGTCATGCAACTTTTACGAGAAATTGATACCCTCCTTGTGTGTGTTTTGTCAGTAGGTTTAGAGTTCCTCCTATCCTTGAAGGTATTCTTGAAGCATTTCATGGCAGGCAATGGCCTGCCATCCTTGGGCCGTGTGAAGCTTGCTGATCTTGTACCTTCCGAAGGGCTCCCTACTGATGCCTACAAAATTTCTGTCTCAACCCTGTCACAATCACTCGTTCAATATTCAGCTGCAGTTATTCAGTTTTCAACTAGCGATGGGGCTCTTTTGAGGTCTGGTATAGATTCTGCTCGCCTCTATTTCCATCAAAGAGCACCGTACCCTGCTAGTGATATGATTCACACCAATGAAACTCGTGAGTGGTGCAAGACGTCTGGTTACTATGCAGATCCTCAGTTGTGGCAAGAAACTTATGATTACAGACCTGGCCTAACACCCATTGAACCAAACACATTGGAATTACCACCAGCAGGTCTACCAGATGTATTTTCTCTTCTGGGAAAAGCTGCTAGGGATATCTTGGATGCCATCAGTTTCTACCTAAACTTGCGGAGCTCTCCTTTCTCTGAAGTTCTCGATAATGTCCCTTTGAGAAATCGGGAAATATCATCCTCAGTATTGTCTGTTTGCTGTCATGCAAGGCCATCATTTCAAGGAGCACAACACCCTAATTTGATAAATCAAGATGATGGCCAATCAGTTATGTTTTCTGACAATGATCAGCAGATTGATAAAAGCTTAATAACTCTTATGAAATCAGATAAAGCAGGTTTACATGTAAGAGACTTCCAAGGCCGATGGGTTCTTGTGGATGGAGACCTTGGACCCCAGGAAGCAGTTGTTTTTCCTGGACTTGCACTTTATCAGGCAACAGCAGGCTATGTGAATCCAGCTCTGCTTAAAACGGAGATCACCAACGTGCAGGATAACATGTATGGAAGGTGTTCATTGGCTTTCAGGCTCATGCCTAAGTCAATGACCAGTCTTAGCTGCTCTGAGATGAGAGCAGCTGGTCATGGGGTTGAAGCTCAATTCCAGCTTCCAGTACCAGTTGATGATTTCATGCAAAGATCCCACCCAACAGATCAGCTCCTCAACAGGCATAGTCTCCAAAGTTTAAACTTCCCTACAGCTCAAGATGGTATGAACTATGGCAATTTAGACTACTTGTTAAGCTTCGGCTACTTTATGGCTGAACTTGGAACTCGTGAATTTAACAAACAGAAGATTGAAGTTGTTTCATAGTTGCTATTGCTCCGCATTTCATTCTTGGTCAAGATTTTCACACCATGTAGCTGAAGGCTTAACATGCTTTCTCGTTCCTTTCAGAGGTGAACACAAATAAATCAACTATAAAACAAACCATAACCAAATAATGTATATTGGTAGATACCAATGTTTTTCAACGTTTAAATAATTCATATACCTTTAATCATCCTGGCAATCTGTTGTTACTGTGATTGAATTTTGAAGTGGATACTGCCTTAATGAATTCATCAAGTTTTGCTTGACTTGGTATGCGCTCATGTTGTTGTGTTTATAGTCAATGAACCTTATTTTAGGTTTTTTCTCCTTGTCGATTTTATGTATGGGCAATCTTGATGCTGAATGCTGCTTGTGTGTGAATGCTCTTAGTGAGAGGTTTTTAACAGCAGGACCTTGGATCGATGAAATGCTGGTACAGGATCTATGAAGCCCTTGATGAGAAGGAAGAAGAATAGCTCCAAATGCAAGCCACTCCCACCTTCCAAAAGGTTGCGCCTTGAAGCCCAAAGAGTTTTGAAGGAGAGAGTTCAGGACATCGCAGATAAAAGGGGCATCAAGCTGAGGTTCTGTACCTTGAAGGAATGCGAGACTCATATTCACTCATTAGATAACCCTTGTGCAAATATAAGAATGGAAATTGGGTGGCCACCAGGAGTTCCATTTGTCCATCCCCATGATCTACCCAATAAAGCAAAGGTTGAATTTCTGAAAGCATATGAACCTGGGTGGACGCCAACTAATGATACAGAGTTAAGTCTCACTGAACCCGCACAGATCAATCAACATTCAGCTGATTGTAACTGTAGCTCTTCTGCCACGTTTCATGCTCACATGTTTGTTTATTATGTTCATACATTAAGTTGTCAGTTCTTTGTTTAGTTAAAGCACGGACTATGCATGCCATTTATAAGATTAGTTTGGGTGCCTTCAAAGTGACTACCTGCTCATGCACTCAGCATACGTGTAGCAAATGAATGTGGAGTCATCTGTCTCAGAATGCTCTGTGAATATATATTTGTCTGCATGATGTTATTTTTTTTCTTTTCGGCTCAAATTAATTTGGGGAAGGAGCATTTTAGTGATGAAATTTAACTGGAACTGTCATGTGTCTTTCTTTCTTTAATTAAGATTTGCATGGGAACTAATTAGGAGGCTCTCATCAGTCAAAACATGTTTTGATAGAGAACATTCAGATTGAAGAAACATCTATCAAACAAAGGGTATTGACGCTGTTATGATGTAAATAGTGATGTGAAATGACTTTGCATTGGTCTTCTCGAGAAAAAATTGCGTACATTATGCATATATTCAGTCAATGGCTCGTCCTTTCGAATGTGATGTTAGGGTTCTCATGCAAACATTTGGACCATTTGGCAGTTGCATTTCTTCTTTTCTTCCTCAGTTTCTACGAACTGAACATGTAGTTACCTTGAACTCTGCAGGAATCCCTCTCCATAGTTTCTGCTGTGGCCAACCAGCTGCAAGCCTGCAATTAACTTGTGACCTCCTTGTGATTGATCCAGACTAGTTTCCAGCTTTTAACTGGCGATGCCGCATGATATAGTGACCGCTCCTTCAGAATTTTATCTTTGCATCCTGAGTTTTATTGCTGCTCTTGGGGCCTCAGGAATGCAACTTAAATTATGATTAAAGCTCTGATGGAGATCTCAATGATGGAGCCGGATTGTCATGAATGGCTCGGCTCAAGACTAGTTTTTTTTCTTGTTCATTATTTCTGTACAAATGTTCCTTCAAAATAACGTGTAATTTAGCTTCATATGACTGGAAGAGTCATTTCATGATGCATTTACTGCCCTTTGGCGAGCTTATAGGGATTCATGTGACAAATAACTGGAGGGGCATTCTCTTGTTTTGCTTTTTTCCTTTGCCTTTTTAGGTACTCCTTAATTGGTCTTTGAAAAGTGAGGCTACGGTTTCGATGGTGGCAAAGCCCTTCGTTTGATGCGGATTTCTCAGGTTTATTTGAGTTTGGTATATTTCTGCTTGTGGGTATGTTGAATGGCAGTTCCTTTTTCTTTTTGCTGCGCGAGTAGAGAGGAGAAAGTGGGAACTAACGGTAGCTTCTGAAGATCGTAGAAAGTATGGACAGGTACTGGATCTAGCTCTTGTTCCTGGACGATCTCATAGCTAGATATCATATGCCTACAGCTAAAAAGAGAAGCGAAAGAGTTCTACAGATCAAGTCTTATTTTACAGAGTCGCGTCTGCTATTTTCCATCATTGCACTCCGTTTCATATACAGCTATGATGCAGCATCTCTCTCTCTCTTTGCTACTGGCAACAAAAGCATTAGTAGGAAACAATTGATATGGCTGAATCTTTTACTACATAATTTGCGATAACCGTATGGCCTAGAATACTCTCTCTCTCTCTCTCTCTGGCAACAAAAGCATTAGTAGGAAACAATTGATATGGCTGAATCTTTTACTACATAATTTGCGATAACCGTATGGCCTAGCATACTCTCTCTCTCTCTCTCTCTCTCTCTCTCTCCACGCAAAACATTAAACAAGCATGATAGCACAGAGCAAAAACGGCCAAGATAAGATGAAAAAATATTGAAAAGCAACTGTGGAGTACAAGTTATCACCTTCTAGGCTACCACAACTACACCATATGAGCATATCCAAGCCCGACTGTTGGGGAAGATCGTCACTTTCAAACCTTGTTGACCCTCAAGTAGTAAAAACAGCACGATATTAATTGTAAAATTTGCAGATCCAAAATAATACCCAGACCACTTCCTCCATGATCCCCGTTGCCTTAATCATGTCTCTAATGTATGTGGACCATCTGAGCCGGAAGGTCATGCCTGAAGAACCCTGATAGACTTTCAGCCCTCAAGCATGTCAGAGGGTCGACTCCGCAGAACAACAAGAAGCAAAGTTAATGCGGCCCAAGTGAAGTAGACCAATGCATCGCATTTCCATGAGTTCTTTTATCCTCAAACAAGGAGTCGATGCCTCTCTCAAGGACGGAATGGCGGTTGGTTTTCAAAAGGTAACTCAATAGGCGTCGCATTACCATAAAACTCTTCCAAGTTGTAGAATTCTCTCTGTTGGGGAAGGAATATGTGGATAACCACGTCACCTGAAATAAATCAAACCACCACAACTTTTAAACAGGTCTGTCAGCAATACTAAATGAACTATACAAGAAAATAGCCTCTACAGAGATGTTAAACGCAAGACAGGCAACTTAAAATGCCATGAAACTTAGAAACGGCCATTCAATCTTCCAGATGAGCATCCCTGGCAACTTTGAATATACTCAGCATACTTATCTTTTTTATCTAAGCACATAAATTCCATACTTATATATGTGCAAGTGTGTTTCTTAAGAACGAGCAACAAATAGATAAGAATGTGTAAAATGTCAAGGTTCATCAGCTTTGCTTGGTTCAGAGAAAAACTAAAAGCCAAACAAACTTACAGGTTTCGTTTTTTCCTCAACCCAAGTCAAACCAAAAAAATCAACAAATCTCAGTTTTTGTTTAATTTTGTTCACCTCTTTTACAATTTATGTGTTCTTTCTTTTCTCACAAAAAGCTCATACTCATTATTGCCACTGAGGAAAATAAGGCCAGAAAAGCTATGGTTACCTCCATATATATGTTTTTTTAAATAGCTAACGTTTCCTTTAATAGGGAAAAGAAAAGACTACTATAAGACACCAAGGGGGTGCAAACCCATATGCAAAAAAAGCTCAGAATTAAAAGAGCTTGGGTAGAAAGACAAATCATCTACGATCTTGATTAAAGCATTTGCATCCATGCACAACTTTCCACTACACCAAAATTGTAAGACTTCAGCCAACTTTCAATAATTACATTAACAGGCATCTTTTCTCCGATGAAAGCTCTCTTATTTAGCTTGTTCCAAATCAACCAAAAAATAGCAAGAGGGATTGAAGCTATCCTTTCTTTAAATAGTTGATTGTGTAGCAAACGGCCGTACTTTCGTGCAGCACGAATAGAGGCCAGTAATAAAAGCATGGAGATTATTGATAGCATTATTGAGAAACACCCCTCTCTCTCTCTTCCCTGTTCCAGAATTGTCTTCATTCGCCTAGATTTTTCTAGACATTGTCCTTTCTTGAACATTCTGCATCAATGTATAATTAGCGGCTGAAAAATACATGAAGAGATAGTTAGACCTTGTGGTGTGTAGCTTAACTTAGTGGTAGTTAGAACTAGTGGCTGCAGATTGTCCAACACGAAAAAAAGAAGCAAAAATCTCTACTTGTGTCAGATAATGCTGAAAGAGTCAATGGATGAAGGCTATAGATAGCCCAGCCTTCTCCATTTGTTTAGACGCCCATAAACAGAAACATAGAATAAAAAGTGCTGAGTAGTGTTAAGTGTATGAATGGTGTTGAGTGTTCTTATAATATTAAGAGAGTGTTTATTGTAATTGGGCATCCACCTGATTCTCAACAAGCATCTCATCTAGTACAGTAAATAAGCATGGAGAGCTCAGATTACTCATTCTTGACAGCATGGAAAATTGTTGAGATAATTTCCATACCCTCATGACAGAACACCAACCTAACTTGGGGCTCACCAAAAAGTTGCTTGAGACAAGTTTTAGTCAGAACGTTTGATAATGTGACTGAAAAGAAGATTAAAGGAGCTAAGCCAGATTTTTTTTTTTGCTGGGAGATAAGCCAGATTGGCCTTTCTAAACTGTTAAATGCTTACTTCATTGAGACCAGCTATTGTCAAATAAAAATTCTTACCAAAATCTAAAAGGGTCCACGAGTTAGGTTTTGAGTCCCCAGATGGAACTTTCCCAAACTTCTTCTCTGCTAGGTCTCTTATTCTTGACCTAAGACAGTGAGACCAAAAGGGAAGACCTCAGGAGACAAAGAATAGAGATCTAGATTGGCAGCTATTATGCCAGTCCATTATTGAATGAATACTCCATCATGTTAGCCCTTACCCAATGGCATCGATTTGAGGGCGAGAAAATGCTGTGGCAATGATGAAAAAGCGGGTCCAATACACAAGAGGCTTCACGAAGAGGACTTTTATGTCTGCAGCTTTCACCTCACTCGCAACCTTAGCCATTGCCACTGCAACTGAAAAATGGCAGAAAATGACCACTAGAGGACCATTTTGGGAAAAAACAAAGGACAACAACTGAACTTTACACTTTAATCTTTAGTGCCTGTAGAGCAGAAATTACATGTTTGGCTTCGTAATAAAGCATATATGTTTTTTTCTTTGGTCAAATAAAAATCATGTGTTAAGGGCTGCAAGTATACAACTTGCTTTCAATATTTAGATAGCAGAAATAACCACAGGTATTAGGTGGGAAAATACACTAGATAGCATAAAACCAAATTATCAATTGATCTACGCAAAAACTAAATCAACTAAAATAGGCCCAAACTTGACATCTTTTGACTAAGTTGTAAAACATTTAGGATATTACAAGAATTAAAAATCAACTATGACAAATGCTATTTTCACATTTTCAGGACAATCCATTGATTTATGGAACCATTTTCTTCTAAAAAAGTAGACTCCAGGATAAAGAGAAATGGCTTTCCTTCTGCACAATTTTTTTTCTTAACTCCTCTTCATTTGTATCTAAAATAATTGGCGGAAAGAAATCATCCTGTGGTTCTTTTATGTTCTCTCCTACCTCTTCAAAAAAAAAGAAAAGAAATTAAACAAAATATCTTCTTTGGGTTTATTAATTGGCATCACAAACAAGCTTTCCTGTAACTTCAGACGTCCTCAGGGATTTCAACGCGAATTCTTATTTGTTCCTGTTCAAAGATTTGTTGGAGATCACAAAGAGATTCTCTGCATAGGATGAACTAGTGATTTCAAGCTTCTACTCATCAATTGGCCTTGAATAATCCTAACTTGATAAGGCATATCATGAAGAAAGTCATGCTTTTAATCTCTAAAAAAGCAAACACATCTACTATTAAGTTGTAAGTGGGAAGAAAAAGTTACCACTTGAAGTCATGAAGCAACCTAATTGCTACAAAATCGCAAACAAATAATCTTACCCTATATTGCTCACTTAAGAAGAAAACACTGAAACTTCTTAACTGAGCCGGAGAGGTTCTAAATCACTGAACACTTCAGGGCATAGAAGTAACTTAAACAAGAAGTCTTTAGATAGTTAAGTATATCGATTCTACCAATCAGAAGAAAGTATCTTGTGCAACGCCAATGTCACATGTCATGCTGACGCAGTATCACCACCCAATGATGTCCCTCCAAATTTCAGGATTCAGAAAATGGGAGGTTATCACGTCAGCAATATAATGGAAAAATGTGATTGACGGAGTCGTTCCACGTCTGCAAGACATGTGGTATCACTGTTGCATAGGATACTTTCCATTCAATGAACCACCTCATTTGCCAACTTGTAACTTCTCTACGCGTATAACATGTGTGGCAAGATCAGCTTACACGACAAACTTTCTGCATCATCATCAACTTCGGCACTAGGTCTTTTGTCATTTCTCCTGAACACCACTTTTCCGTACTTATTGAACAAATCATCGAACATGTCATCGGTATCTTCATTCACGTTCTGCAAAAAGTAGAGACAATCACTGACATGCAAAACAAATTTCCAAGCCCGTAGCCAATGTCTGTGATAGAATTTGATTTACAAAGAATAAGCAGCTCAAACACATGACAGAATAATAATAACTAACTCAGCCTCTTCCCAGGGAAAACAAAAGGACGAGTGAAGTGCATGACGCGGGAATATGATTATGCCTAGTACAGACTAGCTTCCACTCACCCAATGGAATGGTGGAAATTATGGCATCCTCAGTGCTGTCCTTGTTTCCTACATTTCTTAATGGATGGAGAGAACTCACATATCTCTAGCTCTGTTTCAAGGCATTAATCTTTTCGGTGCGATTAGATGGATCACTCCGACAAATTTGATTAGTGTCAGGTACAGAATTCCACAATAACAAGGTCTAGATTGTACATAAACCTTGTTCCCATCATCCGGGAATTCGTAACTCTAAGACGGGGGTTTTCCTTGCTGCATTTGGGAATAAAAGTCCATATTCAAGAGGAAGGAGCAGTGTGGCACATACTTGATACTCTTATCTATGAGAGGTATGAAACGATCGCGACCGGAACAAGATAAAACACAACACCCAACGAATCGTGACATTGAATTAGACAAAACAGAGCGAGTCTGGATTCACGAAACTAGAGTGGCCATATCACATAAGTAGAGAGAGAGGCTACCTCTTTGCCATACGCGAAAGGAATCTTGTGGTGGGTCTGCTTCGAATTGGAGCCACGGAACGTGGCCATCTTCCCCAGGCATCTGGTCTGAAGAAAGTGCGTGGGAGGGACATGAAGTCGAGGGAAGTTCGCTTCCGCACGGGAGAGTTCGCCGGAAAGCCGAGTCATGGCGGCGGAGCCGGGGAGTGACACCGCCGTCGCCGTGGCCACCGCCATTCCGCCTTTTGCGCACCCGAGATCTTTTAGGCAAAGAAGATAGAAGATAGAAGAAGAAAACGAACGGTATAAAGCGGAAGAGCAGGGACACTGGCCAGTGAGTTGGAGCTGTAAACGGGCTTTGTTATCATCTGAACGTCCCCCCGGCCCTTCAACTGCACATAATAATCAGAGCCATTACATATTCACTGGAATGCTAATTACGCTGCCCCGAAGATTATAGCGTCTTAATAACTGGTGATGATTTTTCAGTGAGGAGTGAGGATGAGGAAAAGCATCAGCTGGACCTCAATGGCAATTGCCCAGGACACCCCTTTCCTACAAGGCTGCAGTCGCTTGAATTCACACTCAAATTCGAAGCCTGACCCCTCTATCGTGACATGGGTACGTGGAGATGTTGAACGAGGCCCACTGGGTTTTACAGGAACAACGATGGGTCGAATCGAATCGAATCGAATCGATTGGATTTAGATTCATTGGAGGTGCAGAACCCATTCTTTAACAGGGCCCAGATCTGCGAAATCCACAAACCGGTGGACCAACAAATGCCCATGCATCGGATCGCGCGTGTCGGTGTCAGGACAGGACACGGACGAATGCTGTCGATTCACATCATCGAATTTGGAGTGGGTAGTACATAAGATCTGCCACTGTTCACCCTTCTGGTACCAAGATCAAACGCGAGACTCCACTTTGGTCCATCTCCGTATTCATGGATTTTTATCGTTTGGTAGCAGAAACAGCCTTCACCCACCCACAGTTAATGCGCTATCCCACTAGTCTCCGTCACGCCTTTGGCTACGTACAGATTTTTTCCCCCATGAAGATCCGTCCATGTCGTTTTTTGCTTTGATTTTACCGAAAGATTTAGGAGTAGGAGGTGAGCAGATATCGCACTGCGACGGCAGAGCTCTACATTGCCCTCGAGGACGAATCCGGTGAGGAAGTGAAAGCGAGTTGTCTTGTCCTGATGAGTGCCCCTGCCGTGGACGACGTGCAAACCCTCTTCATCTCATATTTTGGATTTCGCCAAATGGTGTCATCTATCTTTGTCCATCTCGTGGGCTGATTTCATTGCATAGTTCTCATTGGAAAAACTACTTGTAAATGGAGATGCTCTTTCAAGGATACTTATGACATCCTCCCATATCCATGAAATTGATAGTGTAAGTGGTCATCAAGATTAAAAGCTCCTGCTAACTCATGTTGCACTTGTTTGCTAATGTTCAACTTAGGCATGGTCGATACAAAAGTTACCAATAGATAATTTCGTCCAAAAGCTAGACCGCGACGATCAAATGAATGCTCTAGTTGATGACACGGATCAAGCCTATAAACATCCTCAAGCAAATATTCATCAAGCTGACTTGCTGATGAATTTATGGAACATTGGCCACGCGGGTCGATCCTCATTGTCATCTTGCATCGCTCAAAACCTCCAATTTAAAATTAATCAACTTTCCATAGTTGATATTCTACTATATTCCAAAAGTTTTGCTGAGAAATTTCACGGTCGCAACTATTGTGATTTGCTAAATATTAAAGTACATTCCATCTTAGTTTTAAATCTGGTTAAGGAGACATTGAAGGTGGGGATAACATGCTGACAAGTGTTAAAGTTAAGTGCATTGGGCGGTGTTGCCACAAGCATTGCTGGTGAGGGGAATCAGATGCAGCTTTACGTGATGGTCCTCCCATCTCTTTTTTCTTTCCTAGTCTGAGTCTCTACCTAAAGGTCAAATGCGTTTTTTTTTGGCAGAGATACATTTGTGGACACTGTGCTGTGCACAAGGAAGGTATGTATTCAGTACAGAGAGATCATCATCATGGTTGATAGTCGATCCGAGTCAGGCTCACCCAACATTACAGTAAGGTTGTCAGAGCCATGTGGAACCCCGGGAAGAACCAAAGAAGAAGCCAGCTGCTTTTGGCTTTTGCTTTGCTTTTCAGTGCCCTTCAACTCTTTCTCTGTGTACAGACCAAAAAAAAAACTCTTTCTCTGTGTAACGGGTAATGCGCGTGTTCATTATACATGAAACCCCTCAGCTGTTTTTGACAGTAAAGCTGATTAGGCAGATAAGAAAAAGTAAAAGCATAATATGCAACGAAAGTTCCCAACAAATTAGTGAGCCTGACTGGACACTCAAGTCTCAACTTTTATAAGCTTCTGAAACTGAAAGCTTTACGTGGTAACCTATGAAATGGTATCCTCAGGAGAGAGAGAGAGAGAGAGAGGTCTCGCTGTTGGTGAGAGGAAAAAGACACAGATAACTTGTTGGTATGTACAATGCGAGAAGAACAACTTTAAGTTGAATGGACGAAAAGATAAAGAAGCTCCACAAGTCAAGGGAGGGTTTGCATTCTGCAACAAAAGTTTGCCCTTGAAAAGAGGGAATCCACAAAGAACACATGATCTCTCACTCTCACCCAACTTGTGCGCAATTGCATTAGGTTCTTTCCCTTTTTCTTTTCCACTTTGTACAACGTCCTGAATTTTCTGGACAGATCAATGCAATCTATGGCCGTTTGAGCTTGAATCTTTTCTTTCCGCAAAGCAAATATCTGAATGGTTGTTGGGTGGTGATGCACCCGCCAATTCTCAATGTCCACTTTCTACGGTTTCTATGAAAGCCTCTCTTTCCATGATTTTTGAGACCCTGCCAAGAATTCTACTTTATTTTGTGGAGTTAATTTATCACATACTGTCCAAAAACAGATTATTCATCTGACTTTTCCTAGCATAGCCATAGGAAACCTCTCCTCATTTAAATAGTTTCTGGATATCGAAGAACTCAGCTATCAGAGAAGTGGACTCACAAAGAACTGCATTAACTGATGTTCATCATAGCCGCTCTCCGCTCCATGTTACTTTTTATATTATTCAATCTTTTAAACCACCTGCTGGCCTAAAGAATTCTACTTTGAGGTTTTCGGAGATGCCGGTTCTCCTTGAAAATTTTTATGATCCTCAAAGCCCTTATCGACTCTCCGATCACTTATATTCACTTTGTCGTTATCCTAGCCGCATGCATGTCAGTGTGTATGCTGTTCTATATATCTTCTTGAATCTAGGAGTTTCTGCTTCCGCTGTATCATGTAGTCAGTCAAATGTATACTGATAACGTTAGTTCTTCTCAGCTTATTAATGAAGTTGAACCGTATTGAGCTGATTTCAAAGAGAATAGTGATGCCAACTCGTTTCTGGCACACCGTTCACTCATGGGTCGTCCATAAGGAAGGGAACGAGAGAAAACGGGAGATATCAGTTCCATCGCTTCTCGTCTTATCGTCCTCGGAGTTGATGGCAAAGTCAAAACACCACGTTAATCGCGTACTTCGTTCTAGGAAAAGCCATTGCACTTGCTACATTCATGTACCGAACACAAAAGGAGAAACAGAATTTAGTGTCAAAAAAGACTCCAAAAAGCATCATGGGAGATGCATCATGCGATTTCGAGTTGGGTGTCGTGATGGATAAAGACAAAATAATAGACCCAAGGGCATCTTCTTGTTGATAAGGCGGCCTGGATTCTCTCCTTAAGTTAGGCCGATCTGCATACTCCCCGATGCATGTCGATATGCATCTGCTGCCAATGTTCAAGTCGCTTTATTTACCTAAACTATATAGATTGCCTCGGGCTCGTCAATGCGTGTCGTATACAGTGAATAAAGTTCATTTTTGCTTGTGCCGATGCCTAGCAATCGGTGAGCACTAGGTTACTTTAGGGATTAAGTACGATCACCTCGTCCGATAGGATCTCAAGGTGGTAGCATCCGGCCTAGAATAATGCTACATTCGTATGAAATAAACTTTAGTAGACAAAAAAGCTGGAAATGAAATGGGCATCTAAATAAGTAGCCCACTTCCAATACTCATTTAGTAAATTGCTATTTTCAAGTCTCCAGGCACTATTCCACGAGATAGGGACAAAGCCTGCCCAAAGAAAAGGGCAAGAAGGGACTCTTTATCTTCTAAACCTACGGTGTACACGAACATATTTAGTTGGGGACGCTACTATAATGCATTTGCTTTTTTAAGAAAGTGTATCATATCTTTGATGATGCCATTGATCGGCATGTAGCCACATGGGGGGTTTGGTGGAAAGAAGACTAGGCTAAGACGTCAAAGTGGGGGGGTAATCTAGCAGCTAGAGAATTATGTAGGTTTATTAATTGATATGGCAAATGATCACGTACGTGTATAGGGCTATGCGACACTGGATTTGGTCGAGTTTATGATTCATGAGGTGCGTGTAGACCGTCCACTTGTGGGGCATATATAATTATAGGGAAGGGATAGTTTGAGCGAAAGAAGGCGAAATAACTCAACTACAATCAAAGGCCTTATTTAACCAGGAACTAGCTAGGAAATAGCACGTCACGTTCATAATCATTTCTTTCTTCTTCCCCGTCTAATTTGGTGTAGATGAAAAAAGGCGAGTGAAGTTACTTTTCTCATGCAAAATCCCTCGATCTTTCTTTTTTTTCTTTTCTTTTTTCATCGGTAAGCAAACAATTCGGTATCGGTAACAAAGCTGAAACTCTCGACTTGACTAGACAATGAGAGCCTGGACATAAATCAATTCAGACCCTCCTACTTTTACATGAAAATGACAAGATTGAATCTAACATTAGAAGAAGTGGGTGAGGGGTATTATTGCCTGCTTCATAGCCGTGCTCATCATGAATCCTTAAACGTTAATAGGTTACGCACCTATGTTGTAGCCAGTAAAAACATGAGCTTAAAGATGATAATGTCATCTAAAGATGGAAAATGCGCGCAACAAATCCTTCGAATTTAGTAAGCTAGAATAATATGGAAAACCATGTATTATTTTTGCTTATTGGAGGTAACGGCGCACATACGGCGAATCCTAATCAGCGTCAATTTGGTAAAACTATAGCCATCCTAGCACTGAAATAAGAAGTTAATGAACCCAAGATGAAGTGCCATGCGGGGCAATTACTATGAATTAAAACCTTTTGTTGAGAAATGATGCACCTTTTTTCCTTCTTTTTTTATCATTCGATATCGCAAATGCAAATGATGGAAAAAGCGGGTAAAGCAATCCCGGCCGATACCGCATTCACCGGCCATTAACATAGCATCATTTCTCTAAATGCACTTTCATGAAACATAAAACGCCTTCGTTCAGTAGACGACTCTTTTCAATAGTTGCTATTTACAACACTTGCTATCTGAAAATCAGGTATGCACTTCGAAATCCTAGTGTTCTCGACCCAAAAAAAAACACAAGAGAGAAGAAATTCAAGGGTTCCTTTCTTTATGGGCGGAGGCTACGTAAGTAATTTCACGACTACACGCCTTAAGATATGTAAACGTAAAAACGTCATATTCGTAATTTGCGGGCAACCTTGTTCGGGCGAGGTAGGACTTCCTTTGTGGACCGCCTAGTCCCATGTAACATATCAATTAAAATAGATTATAGTGAAGGACATTTGAATCCACCGAATACAGGAGGGAGATACACGTGTACGACACTCGGAGTTAGCGCAAAGGATTATGCGACTGCCGCACCAGACAAAAGCCGAGGTGGGTCCCCCCGACAAGTTCGTGGGGGACGGGGTGGATGGGGGCTTATTTTTAAGGGAAAAATGAAAAGAGAGAGAGAAAAGAAAGCACTGTCCGAGCGAACCGAAGCGAACAAAAAGGAAAACAATGTGCATCGCATCATCCCATCATCAGAGATTCACGGCACTTTGAACGGCCAGGATCGAATTCACCGGAAACGTAACAGCTGCAAACCCCCCCCCCCCCCCCCCCCGATCGAGAGAGAGAGAGAGAGAGAGAGTCCGTACCGTCAGCAGGGCGCCCACGTGGCATATTCACCCGAGCGAGAGAGAGAGGAGGTAAACAACGATTGACGATACGATGCGCGTGGGTGATATGAGGGAGGGTTCCAACTTCATCCCCACCCACGTCCCGCCAAAACCAACACCCTCCCCGGTCCGGTACACCGTACTCTCTCAACCGCCCCCCTCCTCCTCCTTTTTTTTCTCTTTTTAATTAATTCGTTATCTTTTAAATTAATATCACGAAAAATTCTAAATTAGTACACATATAACAAATTTACCATATGTTAATTTTCGTTAAATTTTACCTTTAAATTACTAAATTAGATGACACGTGATAATTAATGGGTGTACTAATTTAGGATTTAGATTTCGTGTTATCAGTTTAATTTAATGAATGATAAATTTATCATAAATGTACCGATTCGGAGTGTTTTATAATATTAATCTTTTTTTTTTTTTTCCACCCTTTGGTCCTCCTTGGGGAGCTTGCCCCGCTCTGTTCTGTAGCCAGGGAGCGTGGGGCCGGCCGCGGGGCGCGCCAAGGTGGCGCCTCGCACGTGGCGGAGGGCGTCACCGCTCCGCCTCGTCGGGTTCCTAGCCCGGGGGGCCTGTCCGCACGTGCTTCCGCCGGGCCCACGGCCCCGTTCACGTTTCCCTGTACGCTTTGAGCCGACGTGGCGGGACCATGCAGTCGTCCGGTCGGCAGGTCATTACGTGGCCGATGCTCCCTCTGTCAGTTATTACCAAAGAAAAAAAATTTCTACCCCGTCGTATCCTTCCCTCAATGCGTTTTTTTTTTTTTGTTTTTTTCTCTCACTTGAAAAGAAAATAAAGGAAAAAAAAAAAGGGGTGAGAGAGAGAGGAAAACGTTTTTGCGTCCCACTACGATAAAGGGGGGGAGTAAAGAAATGGGCCTGTAAAATAGCTGGAATTACGGCCACGACTGGATCTCCAACGCCATAATAATAGAGAGAGAGTCGAGTAAAACAAGGGCGTTTCTGGCAACCGAATCGCGCTTACAAGACAAAACTCCTTTTGCCAGCACAACCCTCCTCTCTCTCTCTCTCTCTCCTCGCTTGTATTTATTCCACTTTGCGTCGGTAATTGAAGAGAATCGAGTGCGTTGGTTTCGTGTTATCTTTTGTCCCTCTCTCTCTCTCTCTATGTGCTTATGTGAATGCCCCAGTTTGTCCATTTCCTCCTCGTCTCGTCCCTCCCTCTTTTTAAAACCCGCATCGCCCTCTCTGCTCACCACCACGCTTCCGTTTCTCCACGGGGAAAAGACCCGCAATAGCCAAGAACACCCGGTTTGATTTTCCTCTGATATGGCTGTCGATGCTAGCTCTGGCCATCTCAATCTCTTCGCTCTCCATCACTTCTTGGGTAGCCGAGATCTCATGAACCCGATGGACGCCTTCCCCGACGCGTACCACGCCGCCGCCCATTTGGGTTGCGGGCTCCCGCTGTCGGGAACCACCACGGCCACCGACTCTCTGCCGCTCCTGCAACCGCACGGGTCCCTGATCAGCGATTCCCTCCCTCCGAAGACCGTGATGAAGCCATCCGACAGTGGCCTCACTTACAACGTACCCTCGATATCGAGGAAGCGAGGCAGGGACTCCATCAATCCCGTCCTCTCCTACGGGACGTCCTCTCCGGACAACAAGACTCGCGCTTGCTTCTCTTTTCTCGGGGAAGACGTGTCCCTCCAGATGCAACAGCAGCAATTGGACATCGATCGCCTCATTTCTCACCATGTAAGCACGGGCGGCCCCAGCGCGCATTTATTTATACTGTCGGTCGATTACGGAGGGTCCATTTTTGTAATGCTATTTTCGCTGATTGATTTACAGATGGAGAAGGTGAGGATGGAGATAGACGAGAGGAGGAAGAGGCAGGCCAGGAGGATAGTGGGGAGGATAGAGGGGGAGGTTGCGAAGAGGCTGAGGGCCAAGGAGGAGGAGATCCAGAAGATTGGGAAGCTCAACTGGGCGCTGGAGGAGCGGGTGAAGTCGCTGTGCGTGGAGAACCAGATATGGCGGGACCTCGCCCAGGCCAACGAGGCCACCGCCAACGCCCTCCGCACCAACCTCGAGCAGGTCCTGGCGCAGGTCAGCAAGGACGACCGACCCCGCGGGGGAGCAGCCCCGGAGGACGAGGCGGACGACGCCGCGTCCTGCTGCGGGAGCAACTACGAAGGCGGAGGCGGAGGCGGAGGGAAGGAGGAGGAGGAGGAGGAGGAGGAGAGCGGGAGGCGGGCGGTAGGAGGGGAGGCGCAGGACGATAAGAGGAGGAGCAGGAGAGGGAGGGGGATGACGACGTGGTGCCGCAAGTGCGGGAAGGAGGAGGCGAGCGTGCTGCTGCTGCCGTGCAGGCACCTGTGCTTGTGCGCGGTGTGCGGGTCTTCCCTCCATACTTGTCCCCTCTGTAACTCTCCCAAATCCGGCAGTGTCCATGTTAATCTGTCCTAGATCGGGTTTTTCTCTTTTTGAGAGAAAAAAAAAAAAACCAGGAACACAAAAAAACGAAAAAAAGAACAGGAGAAAATATTTCCAAGCCTAGATAGAAATCTCTCTGATCATAATCTTTTCTCTTTTTTGATTTTTGTTTTTCTGGTCTCATGATTTGATTAATTCTTTTGCCGTGATATCCTCGTCTCTTTTGATTCTCCCCTCCACTGGGTTTGCTGGCGAGTAACTTTAGTTCTGGCAGTTGTCTCATTACTCAATAGTCAAAGTTCCTTTTATTAGGGGAAGGGACGATATGTGCTCTGGTGAAATGAGTGGGGGGGATGGTAACCTGGCAAAAATCCATTGGGAGAGGATTAGCAACATTTTAGGACCCCATTTTAGTGGTGTGTGTTGAGAGATGATGATGGTGATGATGATGCCATGTTAAAAGTGGTTTAATATTTTATTTACATCGGGGGATTTGATACGTGGGAGGGAGATATAGATAGAGAGAGAGAGAGAGAGGTAGAGGTAGAGAACTTATCGGACAAAAGAACGAGGATCGGGGTACCAAATGCCAGTTCGGAAGGTCATTTCGGGGGGGAGCGCGTGACGGTTACGCGCCCGCACGAGAGAATGGGTCAACGGGTGGGGGACGGGGCGACAGCGACGTATGTGAGGGGAAGGGGTGGGGCCCAAAGGAGCTGACACGTCCGACGCGCGCAAATGTCGCTGTTTTCCCCGTGCAAGTCGGCCCCACCCGCCACTGTCATTTCGCTTAAATATCCCGCACCCCGTAAAAATCAAACACCCCACGATCCACCCTTTTATTAAACTAAATGTAAAATAAATAAATAAATAAAGAAGAATTATTAATAAAACAAGGGTAAAATAGAAAGGCCCCGAAAAAAAGCAAGTGAATGGTCTTTTGTCATTTCTTTACGCAACCACGTCAGCCTTGTTGCGTGGATTGGATCGAGGAGAGATTTTACCTTCAAAGCTCTGCAAGCAAATCTCGAAATCCCGTGATATTTTTTATGCTTAATCTGCGTGTAAAAGATAAAGATCAGTGGGTTGGGAGTTGCGAGGTGGACCAGGTGGGAGGAGGAGGGTGGTTGAACCAGGGTCCGTCCTAATCACGTTGTTGTGTTGTCTCCCAGGTCGCTCTCGCTTTGCATTAAAATCCCAATCACCTCCTCTTTCTCTCTCTAATCTCTGATCTTTTCTCATTTTCGATATTTTCCGACTTTATTCGGGGACGATAATGGAAAGTGAGAGCACGAGAATTGTTGCCATCCACGCCTTTTCCTTCGAGGGGGCCCAACGACAGATGAGAGCACGAGACTTCGTATCTGTTGAAATTGTTTACAATGACAAAAAGAAAAAAGGCTTTTTCATTTTACATTAGAATTCAATTTCGATGTCTATGTCGATGTCAATGTCTCTATGTCTATGTCGATGGGGAAGCGTAGAGCCGAAGTTGATTTGTGCGGGGGGGGGTGTGTGGTTTTGGGAAAAGCAGTAAAGACAAATGGATGACGGGACAGCAAGGGTTAATGCTAATTTTGGGGTAGTGTCCCTTTGTGTTGTTTGATGGTCCCCGATCCAATCTCTCTTCCTCCATCTCCATCCAATTCCCAATCCCTCCTCCCCCTTCCCCGCGTCATTATTGTCGCCTTTGTCCTCTGAAATTATTGTCTCTTTCTAGACTGGATTCGATTGCCCCATTTTGGAGGTTTCGCTACATGTTAACCACATGCTATTAGCCGAGGCCTAGTGACTTGGGGTGTACCCGATCTTTTTTGCCATGTTCCTATCTCTTGTGTTGTTATTAGGCGACCCGCCGAGTCGTTTTCTTGTTGTGAAGCTAAAGAGCTGAAATGGGAAAGGTACAGAGGCGTGCGACGCCGAGCCGAGCCTTCATCGCGCGTTCCGCATGCATTGAATGGTAATGGCACGACAAGCTCCTGCTTGGCTTTCTTTCTTGGCATCGCCCATCCGACGCTGACGTAGAATCGGAACCATTTGCGATGACATTTATGTTTGATCGAGTGGTTTGGCTTTTAGCTTCTCGGAGGAACATTAGGGGGGGAGGGGGGATTATGTCGACATTTGGATCGGATTATGGATACGATACTTCACCTAATATCGATATCCACGCTTTTGAAAAAGGATTTTCTTATCGAGTGCGTACATAAGAATATGAGGATGACGATGGGTTAGGACTAAAGAAAGGCAACACCTTCCTCGTGACTACTTAGGGATGAAGAGGAGTGAAGAAGCGGGGTGGGGGTTGTTGATTGATAGATGACCTCATTCTAGGAATACAAAAGGATGTTCATTACTATTATTAAGTCGGCTTTGAGCGCTCGTCATCAACATCACTTTAAAAAACACGAATGGGGTGGGACACACACACACACACACACGAGATGAGAACAAGACGAATAGCATCCTCACGTTTGGTGTTTTGAATATACATTATTAACATGCAAAACCATCAAACGGGGGATGGAACGGGAGAGACCCACTTGGAATTCAACTTAAGAAAACGTCTCAAAACAAAAAAAAATGGACGCGCTAATTTTGAGAGGGAGAGGGAGAGGGAGAGGGGTGGGTGGGAAGGAAGTAACGTTGCTTTGTCGTCCGTCCAACTCCAAAAGGAATTTTAATTGCCCATTGAATTTGGTGAAGTTGACGTGTATATTTATCAATTAAAATTATTGAATGGGCGAGGAGGAGGAGGAGGAGGAAGGTGGGGCCTGGCAATTGATGAGATGTGGAGAAAGGAATGGTTCAAATGCGAGGGGACAATTCCCAAAGCTGATTTGTAATTAAATTATATATATATATAAATATATATCAGAACGAACATCGGAATCAGCTCCCGTGGAAAATCGTGCTTTTGGGATGGGGACTGGTCGTGTGCTGTGGCGATCCAATTATAGTTTTTTTTTTTTAATTTTTTTTTCTTCCTTTTTTGGGTTGTCGTGCGTGTGTGGACCGATTCAATGGTTTGTTTGGGCAGATGCGTTCGTGCTTTTTGGAAGCAAAGCATTGAATTGTCTTTTTGGTGTGTAAAGAATTGGAACGACGATGCGCCCAAAAAACATGGCATTGATTGTTAGTGTGGGCTAACAGCGACAACACGCACCCAGAGAGAGAGAGAGAGAGAGAGAGAAGGTGGGGAAATTATTACATTATTGATTTAAAAAAATGAATAAAATTTTGATTATTCAACGGTATCTTTTTTAGATTTTAGTTTTTTTTTGGGGGAAGGGGGTGGACCCCACGGGATCAGGACCATCTGTTGTTCCTTCATGACCCGGCATGCCCTCTTACAACACGTGAATCTGATTCCCCCCACCAGCACAGTTCTCCCTCCTCCTTTTCATCATCATTTATTGTTTTTTATTATTATTATTTTCGTCGTTATTATTATATTTATTATTTTGATTGATGAGATTAAGGTAGTGGTGCTCGATATGCGCACCATCGCTTATCGTGAACGGGGGGGGCCACCTCGACAGCGACCGTAATGAACCTCCTAAACTTTCCGGTCTAACTTTAAGAATGGGGTCGTCTTCCTAAATCGGTTTGGGATTGCGGCCCACTACTATAATCAACCCCCGGGGAGAGGCATGGAGGGAGGGAGGGAGGGGGGCCAATAATGCTGTATATTCATCCGAGCCACAGGGATTCATCAAAGAAAGAAGATTGCATTAAAAAGGTTTATATTGTTCGTTCGGACTTTATAGGGTATGATAAGTGTACTCGGCAGCACCCAATTTGAAGAAAGAATGATGGATCCAATCCAATCCAAAACAGGAAAAAGTTTCGGGAAGCCATTGAACCTGTAAAAAAGGGGAAGGGGGAAGGGGGATGGATGGATCATCCCCCCTTTTTGGTTTTGGTGGGGGTGTTTCTCAAAGTAGTCTGCGTCTCCCCCACCACGGTGCTCTCCACCCCCTTCTCTTTTTCCCTTTTCTTCTTCTTTCTTTCTTTTTATCACGTGATTTGGGGTAAAAATGGCAATCGAAATCACGAACGAGGGACGCTATTGGGCGATTTGATCCAGTTGGGGATTGTGTTTTTTTGACTATGAGAGATCGTCAATAATGGCGTGGCTCCATGCATATCCCAACCATGTCTCCCCACTCCCTTTCATTCACTGAAGATGCTAATAATTGTGTCACTTCCCCTCCTTTCTCCCACCCGTAATTGCAATGTATTTGGATTTCCTTAGTTACATGCTTCATCTAGCGCGACGGAATCTGTTCATGGGTTGTTCTTTGTAATTGAGCGCGATACTCGCATGTCGCGTATGGTCATCGTCCAACTCATCACATGGTACGATTGTTTATTCTTGTGATGGCACATAGTTTGTCGGCAACCGATATGAAAAACCCATGAACTTATCTTCTCTTTTTTCCTCCAAAACGGTACGTCTTGTGTATAGTATCTATGACTTTTCCGATGCACGTTCCTTATAATGCCTCGTCCCATGAATACCGATGTCACTAAACTATTGGAGTAAAGAATCGATGTGATCAGAAGTTGGCTTTAACATTTGTGTTTGGTTGGGTCCATGTCAGGTCTCATGAGTTAAAAAAAGAAGACAACTTTTTTTTTTTTTATTTTGTTGTTGTCAGCACATGTCCACGAAATCGAACTTGCTGGGGGCATTAATAATCATGAAATTATGGGGGGTCACGGAACCTTTTTAATGGTACTGATTTGGAAGGTAATAGATTTATATAAAGGACGGATTCACATGGGATGGAGGGAGGGAGGGAGGGAGTGGGGGGACGATGGCTTTGTCCTTTTGCGTGCCTCGTCAATCGGCAAATCTGCCACATGCAATGATGCTCCGCAATTCCTTCGGGGAGGACGCAAAAAAAGAAAAGAAAAGAAAAGAAATGATGATGTAATTCGTAATCCTAACAACATACGGAAGAAATGATTAAAGAAATTTTGATTTGACGATTCTGCTTTTGTCTTTGCTGTCCGAATTTTGCCACACGGCTGTCCGAAGGAGATTCTTTTGGGTTATTCAAGCGATCGAGTGCGCTTCCCTCTTCTTGGGTTTTTTGTCATTGCTTTCGTGCTTTGTACACATGTAACATCTCCTAGCACTATCATATATCATATCATAACATATCAACTCTCCCCACTTCACACCCCATTTTGCATTCTTCCTTCTTTTTTTTTCTTTTCTTTCATAATGTCAGTAAATTAGACCTATCTCTTAGCAATTTCCTAATGTACTCGGCAATCGAATGCTATTGTTTTGTCACACATTTTGGGGACCTAACGAGAGACCGGCCTACCTTTTTTCCTTTTTGTGCTAGAAATATCCATAGCGTTCATGTTAATGATTCCCTCTTTTTTTTTTTTTCCTTTATCATCATTAAGTTTGACCGGCACATAGATCGGGTCGAGTTTGATGGTGTTCGTGGCTCGGTCGATGCTCTTGTCATTCACGACTTATGGGTGAGTCTCAAAACGATTAGATAGTACTTAGCCAGACGTATATTCAATTGTGAATGCGTGAGTGCTATGTTTGCTAAGCCCTTAACATGGTATCAATATTCTAATGCCAGTTGCATCAAAAGAAATGGTATCTTTGGGAAACATGATTTGGCGCTTTCGATGGAGAACTATAATTTTTTTATGTGTCTAAATGGGGTTGGGGTGGATCATATCTCAGGGCATATTGCACGTTGGGATCATCAACCGATTTTTTAAAGCGCTTTTAGCAAAATCACCAACTAGATTTAAAGTATCGCTAATCCCGAAACAAGGACAAGGTGGCCCCCACAGCAAACCCCTTTGACTAAGTAGACATGATAAGGAAGATGTTTAGCGTAATCCCAACTTGGTTACCGTCGTTATTTCATGTGCATTAGTCTTCCGTAATCAGTTCGCTTATTAGCGTGGACCTTCTTTATTCAATAATTATAGTATACTAGCAAAGACGTGCACGTTGTATATTGCAATTTGGTTTCTTGATTCTCACAGTGAGATCGGGTTTGGTTAAACCTTGGTTGACGCAGAGACATGGAGATCGCCAAAAATATTCTCTAAAATGACGACCCAAACTTCCGACGCGGTGGGAAAGTTAAAAGGAGGGGACTGGAAGTTGCGAAGATGGGGGCGGGGGGGAGGGGGGGAGGAACTTTCCTTGACAATGGAGAAGAAATGATAAAAGAGGAAAGATGCACATCAAAATGAGTGCCTTACAATAAAAGGACGTTTGGATATGAGTAGGGCCTGCTGCTCGACTTGACCGTCACGCATACACCAGAGCAGTGCGCCCCAACCCTAACGCAGACGTCGAGGACAATGACAAATTTCGAGAGAGAGAGTGAGAGAGAGAGAAGAGAAAAGCTGATTTTGCCAGAGAGGAAAGCGACGTGCATGCTTTTGGGAGGTGAGATGTGCCCTCTTTGCTTCTGGTGCGAAGGAGAGAGAGAGGATGGAGATGGGTGTCACCTAAGCTGTCCACCTTCTAATATCGACACACACACATATTCGTGTTTTTTTCTCCATTTTTTTGTTTGTTCTGTCGCGTGTGTGTGTTTAAAATAGGGAAGGCCGAGCAAAGGGACGGTACAACAACATTATAAATGGGAAGCCTATCAAATGAGGCAGGAGATGATTGCGAGATGTGGTGGGGGCTACCCCTGTTCTGTATTAGTCATCATTTCATAATTGAAGAGTGTCGCTTTCATTGTTCTCTGCTAATCCACCTCCTTGTCTTTTCACTGGATAACCCACACACGCCATGTCCCCATTCCACAAGTCATCATTGCACCCCTGATTGGACCACCCCCGAGTGCCTAATTAAGATTTTAGACTTTTCCGATTGGAAATTCCCTCAGCCGCCCTCAAAGCACCCCGGGGTCCAACGGATGATCAAAGGTCAATTCATGATATCGAGCTTTTAAATTTTACGCATGCTCGAAAGGGGGTGGGGAGAAAAACACAAAAACTAGGAGCTAGGTTAAAATCGACAAGAAAAGATTCCCCACAAGAGCTTGTGTGGGTTATTCCTTTCCTACTTGATGGAGGTGGGAGAATGGGAGGACTGTGACTATTTGTATTTTTCAATGAAAAGGGCAATGTGGGTGGGGTCAAGGTGAGCAATTCACAAAGACAGAGAGGGAGAGAGGGCATATTTTTAGGAATGCACATTGATGGAATCGATATCATTAGCTTTCACAATGAGACTTTGCTTTATTGCGGGAATTTCAATGGCCTGCCATGAGTATGCTTTTTACCAAGCTTGGGTGGGGGATAACATGTTTTTAGTGTGGGGCGTGAGTGGAGTGAGGCCAAAGATAAGGACATTATCCATTGCATATTTGAAACTAGAACCTCCCCACTAATATCTTTCTGAAAAAGTGAGTTGGCAAAGTCACAGGAGAAAAGAGCTAAAAAAAAAAGTAGATCTGATGTTGTTAAAGCCTCTTTCTTTTTTATGGATTTCAAGGTTTTTCTAGAGAGTGTGTTGGTGTGGACATCAGCTTCAACCACTAACCCAAGATTCATGTGCTTGTACTATCACGTCTCACTCATCCATCCATTGGGTCCTCCCCAACCTCCCCGATTTTGGGTTGGGTGAAGCGAAAGAAGCAAATCTCTCTCTCTCTCTCTCTCTCTCTCTCTGAAAAAGTGGACCACGAAGTGTTATTGTGCTTGCAAAGACTTGTTGTGTAGCCTAGGCATCACTGAAAAAGCAAGTGCATTAAAGTCATTCATGTCGTTTGGTGTGAGGTGGGGGCACATCACATGTTAATTTTTTCATGGGAGTGGATCTTCTAGGTGGATAGATAGATCGCTGTGAGACCGGATTGGGACTTAAGCGTGCTGCCCTTTTTTTTTCGAACTTTTTAAAGTGATACAAAAAAAAAAAAAAAAAAAAAACTGAAGGGGTGAGTTTAATTCCTGTCGGTGTCAAACGGCAAAAAGATCAAAATCACTGTGCTTGAGTCTTATTCCGCTTTTCCCTATTCGCTTTTTGAAAGTTTTGCATCTGAAACAGTGGAAAAGCTCGTGTCCGAACTTGAAATCGAACCAGACACCGACAAGAAGATCACTTCATGGGAGGGGACCAGGTGAGTGCATATTGGGGGAATGCCTTTTCCTTTGCCATGTCTTCCTATCTTCCACTTACCTGACTTTTTTCTTTCTTTTTGGTGCATATGACGCATCTCTAAAGCTAAAAAGTATCGGTTCAGTCGACAACTTCAACACAGGCCATTGTCATCTTGTTAAACACAATTTCATCCAAATGACTTAATCGAATCGGTACCACCGACATGCCCAAATGTATTATGCAACATACATGATGGTCTTATCACCAAACATCTGAATAAATAGCTCCATGAATTGAACATGCACCGAGTGTTAGGTGACATTGTTAGCTGTGCAACCCTTATATGTGTATTTCGTCGTCATATATCCTATTCATTTTCTTTTTTGAAATTTTCATTGATTTTTGACTGATATTTCAAAGATACCCATTTCGTAATGAATTTCCGGATGACGATTGACTGCAGATATTGGATTGCCTGTTGATTCAAATGTGACCCAAAAATTAAGGGCCAGAGAGAGATACCTGGAAAGCGGGAAATAATATCCACTGTGGGTCGAGTAATTATGTTCCCTAATGTTATGCGATACATACGAAGTTTAAAGAAAGTTGAGAAGTTATACATTTCATAAAATGTACGAATAGCCCGTTTCTTGATGGACTAATGTGTATGAGCTTTGCATGAATTGAAAACAGCTAAATGAAGAATCGTAGAAGTACAATACTAGGAAGATACAATGGGCCACAACTCTCAATCACTTCCCCTAATGCCCCTGGCTCGATACTGTTTCCCTTAATCATACACTAATGATCGTGCAGACAGCGGGCTGAACAGAATGGAGCATGCACATTGGAGTGCACATTTCATCACTGACCTCCGACCATTTGCGCAAAAAAGGACTCTACACTGGAATCATCAACTTGTTTTGGAGACTTTCCAATTAAGATGTTTCCTCCATGACCATAGCGTCTTCTACTTCTAACAGGCCATAAACTCATCTCCTGCAAATGAGGCTATTCGACCATCGAGCACGTCCCGTTTGTTATTAAATCAGTATCGTGACATTCATACAAGACTCCAACCCAACAATCACTTACTACCACTTCCAGGCGCTCTTTCAACTAAGACGGTATGTCGAAATCTTCTGTAAAGTTCACCAGTGGATTTTACACAACAATGCCTTCTATACGTACAATGCTCCATCTTCTAAGCAATTCATCCATTCCAACATTGATGGCCTTTCTTACTGCTCCAACAATGTGCCTCAAGCTATGATTAGCTCAACAATATACCTCAGCTAGGAAAGAGATCCATATACTCAGATTTGATGGCACTGCCCTCACACCCTCATCCTTCTTTCCAGGAACAAAGAATTGAGATTGTTATGTCCGATAGACACAAGAACCCTTTGGCAAAAGTACTATTAACATAAGTAGATTACTTGGTAGCGAGTTACCGCCCTTAACATTGTTGGGATCGCAGCAATATATTAACGAACTTTTTGGTTGAACAGCTAAAAGCGCGAAAGCAGATTCTCTTTTACCCTTGATCTCAAGCAAAGATGAAAAACAAAAAGAAGCAAGAACAATAATAATTTATTACAATTTATAAAAGCAAATGGACAAAAAACGACGACTATCGTTTGACTCCCTTCATTCGCATTTTGTCATTGGCACTTGACATATCGCAGTTTTCAAGGATGTTGAATTAAGACAATTTCATCAGCGGCCCTATCTTTTCAGGCTTTAATTGTCTCCGGTCATTTTTCAAATCATTCTAATTCTTTCTGGCCATCCTCCAAGGATCACCAGCTAAGACCTTACAATAATTGCACACGAACGTTTTGAGGTTCCAAGGAATCTAATCCTCTACCTAAATCCTTCTACAGAGTTGAATCCGTTTACATTTTAGCTCAATCTTCCATTGCAGAAGTTTTCACAATAAATGAGACAAAGCAAGCAGCATATCCATAGATTGCGGGGTACAGCTTCCACACATGCAAAAAACAAAAAATGGGAACTCAATTTCCGCAACCTCTTCGAGTTCATGGACCCAATGGTAGATTTCTTCAATTTTTCTCCACTAGATTATTGCTTCTGAGAAATCCACATACAGCAGGAATGACCATGCGAATAACAGTCCGCAAGAGGAAGATGACGAGGACAGCTTCTTGCAGAGACATGATCACAGTCCATACTTATCACCCATTAGATAACATCAGATCCATGCATCAAACTAAGTATAATACACTCTAATTTTACATAACACACTGATATAGGGGGAGAAAATAAAAGAAAATCTAAATAATAAAACAACGGTAGATTGATCATACCGTAAACAGAAAAGGAACACACAATTAACTGTTAGCCCAGCTGGTAACAGAAAATTAACTGCCTTTAGCATAGCACTTTGCTACGAAACAGATTGTCTCTTTGAGGATCATATTATCAACAGAAATCCCAGCACATTTTATAACGGCTATTGAGCACTTTTTCTGGGTGTGAAAGGTCTAGCTTTAGGTAATGGCCACACTGGAACTAACTTAGAAGATTCTACACCAGAAAAGATAATCTTATTTATATCAGACCAACCCAGGACAATCAGAACTAGCCACCCTACTTTAAGCAAAGATTCGTCATTTGAGGAAGTTGGCAAAGTTACAAAACATAGACTGCAAGCCGGTTTTAGAGGAAAACCAATCAGAGAGAATTAATGCAGGTCCCATAACATCCATAGCAAGGAGAGTTCGAAGACACCACAAACACAAAGAAAACAAATTTGGGAATTTAAACTACAGAATTTTTACTGAAAACCATATTAAAAATTCAAAACACTGGATGTTTTAGAAGTAGCACAATGGCAAAGAGTAGGTAAAAACAAGTACATAAAATTGGAAGCACCATTTGACATTTTAAATACTGTAGTCTTGGTAGCAATGATTAACAAGGCGATTGCATGAGCTCTTGAAACTTCAGAATAATCACCAAGGCAGTACTAAAAGACTGATGCACCTTTGTTGGATCTGCAAAATGAATCAGTAAAACACGATAAAAACTTTTATACTGCTAAAAGTATTTCAGAATCTGATATCGTTTCAAAAGAACGTTTCAACTGCAGCAAATGGTACTGAAATTGTCTGTCAAGAAAGGAAAGTGTTTGAATGCTTGTTATCTGTGCAACTCACTTGAATTTTCTGCTACTTTGGAATTAAATTTAAAAAAATTCCGAATGTCTATGAAAAGATAGCTTGTTACCGTGTCGAAGAAAACAGCTGAATAAGTCTGAGCTTCTGGCAAAATACCAACAGAAAATATGAATGCACAACATTTATGCAAAACCAAAAAGGAAAATAAAGCAAGTAAAACCCTTCCCATGGCAGTATTTTTAGTCTTGTCATGTGAAATACTCAACAAGTTTCTCAGCCAAGACACGATGCATACTAAAATCCAAGTACCATTTCCTTTTCTTATTCAGACCATTGACCAAAGATCTATAATATCACATTATACAACACGATATGAAAGTGCAGAAAAAGTTACTGAGCAATACTTAAAAGTGATACAGACCGAAATTCAATTAGAAATAATCACGTATGAATTAAAAGACAGCTAGACCACTTGCTGAATCCTTTCCAATCAGTATTTGATGAAAGAAAACTCTAAGGTGCATTTGTTTCGCAGAAAACGAATGATTTGGCAAACATTTTCCAAAAAATGATCGCTTGCATTGCTTAAAATAATTAACCAATAAAATTATTTTAATTATCGATAAAAGTTTATGTCTAAACATTTTCATGGACGATGAAAATATTTTTCATTCATTCATTGTTGCGACCTCCCCGCATTCATTTTTGTAAGTAATTCAGACGATCATATTTTAGAAAATGTTTTCCAAATCATTCGTTTTTCGCGAAATAAACACCGTAAGGTTTTTTCGAAAGTGCAGACTCGAAATCCTTTAAAATTAACAACTATGAATTACACAAAATTTGCAATGATAATATCGCCAGAAGTTTGATCTTTGATTGCTCTAAAAGTTTTTAATAAGTAAAGTTAAAGACATTCTGATTGCATACCAATTACTAAGGTGGAAACAACTCATTTACACTCGATGGCTGCAGAGCCGCAGAGCTGCAGAGCGCATAACGCTCCGAGATATCATCATCTTACTAATTCTATAAGAACTTTATCTCCCGATTGAGCTTATTTTTTACTCATTTTTATAGCAGTCTATCCAACTTGCCATTGAACAAAAAGTTAACCAAAACTAAAATTGTTAAAATAGAACATTATATGGACAAAATTAACTTAAAAACGCATAGCTCCAATCAAAAAATTAATTCTGCATCCAAAGTAGGAAAAAACAAAGAAGAATGAACTGGCTTAGTTACCCTCTGTCCAACTGATGCTGATGGCTTGAGGAAAAGCTGCCAAGTACCAGTTCCACAAAGCAGAACCCACACAATGAGAAAAAAATAAAATAAAAAAGAAAAACCTCATAAGGTGTGCACTGATGAAACAGACGGGAACAACCACTTTGGAGTGATCATTCAAGAGGATATCAGCATAAGAAACGATCAGCTATAACATTCATGATCGCTATATTCTGTTTCTTAACCAAACTGACAGTAAGCTTTTCAGGAAAAGCTCACGAAAAATATAGAGCACAGTAAGCATAAGCAGCCATGCCATACCAAATAAACCAATTCTACCATTCTAGCTCAACCGAATTTAACAAAATATGTGCAACAAAGCAAAAATTAACAGTACTAGGAAAAAAGCGAATGTATGTAAAGTATGTCGTGAATGAAACGCTCTTAACAAATGAACTGATAGAATTCAGAAAAGAAAACAAGGATGACCAATAGTCAGGACTTTATCCTTAATAAAAAGGAAAGATGGACCTTTCATCAATCAAACTAACCAATAGAAGATCACTATTAGTTCTAGAGGACTGAACATGGAGGCTGAGTAGACTTGTAAGGAATGAGCTCCTGAGCTTTTCTGAATTAGCTTATTTTATAGGAATGCTTTGTCATTTCCCAATCAATCCAATCAGACATATGCCATGAATCAAGAAGGTGCCATCTAATGTCTGGTCTGCGTTTCTACCTAGTAAAATTTCCGTATATTTTTTTAAGAGTTTTCAGCATTTATATCTGGTTTATGAAGGAACTCTCTGCCAGTATGCGAATGGAATATGTTGAATGCAAGTAAATAGTAAAAATAATCTTAGACTCTTTCAACCCAACCCCCACACCACCCCCACCTCCACCCACCCCCCAAAAAAACCCCGAAAAACACTCACCCACAACTGAAAGGAACCCGGTGATAAAACTTCTAGAGCCTTTCCGTGAAATTATGTTACAAAATTTTGGAAGAAATTGAGGGTTCAGGTGGTAAGCATGCAGTAATTTCACATAGATCTCCTTTTTTGTGCAAGAGACCACTTGGGAGCAGATTCCTATCAATATTACAGAGGGGTCAATTACAGTTAAAAAGACACTCTGTAATGAGCAAGAAGAAACTGTTTTTCACCTTCTGTTTCATTGCTCATGAGCAAGAAAATACGGACAACAATCTTTGCTTCAACTGGCTTAAGGTTCTGTTAAACAATGAAATTTAGGCATGGCAGGGTTCACAGATCCAGTTGCTGAGAAGGATTTCACAGTCTCCCTCCTCATTTTGGCTCGAAGGAAAGGGGGAACTGAGACACTCCAAGCAGGAACAATCTTGTAATAGTTAAATTGCAGGTAAACAGGTTTAGAATTTTCCATTCTGTCATAGGAAAATTATTAGTTGGTGTGAACACATTGCTAGACATAGTGATGAGCTCTTTTTGGGGGTCTTAAGCTTTTTCCATACATGGGCTGCCTATCTGTCACACTCCTAGCACCCTATAATAAACCTCATTAACCTTTCTATACTCACTTACGTTATCAAGCAACAATAAAATTCGCCCTTATCACTTCCTAAACTGTCAAAAAATTAGACTGCTACATCGCTCATGTGAATATTCAATAAAAGATGTAAGACTATCCACTATAGAGTAACCCATATCCATACCTCTCAGGGTCTAATGACCACCCATATATGGTCCACTGCCACTAAACTGTCCAGCATGCTGCCCTCTACCAGCTGCACCTTGACCCATTTGCTGGTTTGCATATCCAGCTTGACTTCCATATCCTCCTCCAATTAATCCAGGGGTAATGTTCATCTGGCTTCCGTAGGCTGCCTGCAATCCATGACCAGCAGGTGGCACGGCTGGATTAACAGCCGCAGCTGACCCTAGAGTTCCCAACAAGTTTGTTAGCCCCAATCCAGCACCTTGAGTTGCAAGCAAAGCAGTAAGCGCCTGCCCAAGTGCGGGGTTCAATGCCTGTGCAGTTGCAGCACCCTGACCAAACCCAATTCCTGCAGGGTTCAATTGCCCAAGTCCCGCAGCAGCTGCACCTGCAAACCCTGCACTGTCATTCCTTTGGGATTGGCGATTGTTTGCATTCTGATGTTGCATATGCTGAGACTTCCCAGGTTTTGGTCCATCAATAGCTTTCTGGCAATGTAACATATGACCCTCGAAACTCTTGTGCGGTTCTTCCAAAGCCTTCTTGGCACTCTCGACAGTCTTATACACAAACAAGCAAAACCCTTTCGGCTTGCCAGTCAACTTGTCGAGCCCTAATGGCCCTTCCTCGATCTCACCAAACTTGGCAAAGAATTCAGTCAACTTCTTTGGATCCAACTCTGCCCCGACGTTACTCACATAAATCTTCCTCTGTGTATACTCAGACACTTGCTGCTGCTGCTGATGCTGATGCTGCTGCTGCTGCTGCTGCTGCGAAGGGGCTGACTGCACTCCAGATTGAATAGGCACGGGGCCAATGGACGCAAGCTGGCACGCAGTCATGCGATTCCCAATCTTCTTCTGGGGCTCCCTCAGGGCATTGCGCGCACCGCGACGACTTTTAAAGAGGATGAAACCGTATCCTTTCGATTTGCCGGAGACCTTATCACAGACGGCCTTGCAGTTCTCAATTTCACCGTACTGCTTGAATGCGTTGGTTAGGGTTTCTGCAGTGGCGTCCCATCCAAGCCCGTGGACAAATATCTTACGGTGAACCGGATCCACATCGGCCATCTGGCGTATCCGATCAGCCACGTCGCGATGCTCAGCTCCTGCTTCGGAGAGCAGAGCGATGAGTTGGTCCTTGCTGAATGGTTCTAGAAGCTGCTGTATAGGTTCGTCGTCGTCGTCCTCATTAGCGGTCTGATTGTCCTCATCCTCCTCTTCCTCCTCCTCCTCCTCCTCCTCCTCCCCATCCTCTTCTTCCTCCTCTTCCTCTTCCTCAACTTCCTCTTCTTCCTCGACTTCTTCTTCGACTTCTTCTTCTTCTTCTTCTACTTCTTCATACTCAACAACGTGCTGTTCTCGGGCCGCAGCGTCCTGCTGCTGCTGCTGCTGCTGCTGCTTCAATTGTTGCAGCTCCTGCGGCTCTTGCTTTATCGGTTGCTGTTGTTGTTGCTTCTTCGGCGGTTGACTTGCTTCGGCGGCAACGCTCGGAGTCGACTCCTGCTTTCGCTTTCTCGCCATTATCCAAACTGGGTGGCGACGAAACTTGGCAGCAAGAGAGAGATGGCCCGAGGACAATTTTAGCGCAGGCTCGTCGGTCTAGCTAGGGTTTTTTTGCTTGCAGCGAAGAGAGACGATGAAGACAAGATACAACGTCGATCAGAGAAAAGAGGAGGAAGAAATGATCTGGGCTTCGGACTGAACCGTGCAGGCCCAAATAATCAGAGAAGTCCAGAGACTGGGCTTCATTTTTTTAGCCCAAGACCAAGCCCAAGCCCAATACCAAGCCAAGCCCTACCCTTTAGACGCATCCCCGCGCGGCTGCCGCCGACGTGAAAACCGATACGCCTCTTCCCCCTTTGGAGACCCTTCCGGTTCTGGACCGTCGAGCTCGCTGTCTCTCTCTCTCTCTCTCTCTCTCTCTCTCTCTCGCTGTCTCTGTGCGAGAATGGCGGCGGAGGAAGAACAGCAGACGAAGAAGGGGAAGACGAAGGGGAAGCACGACAAGCCGAAGCCGTGGGACGAGGACCCGAGCATCGACCGCTGGAGGATCGAGAAGTTCGACCCGTCCTGGAACGAGGGCGGCATGCTGGAGGTCAGCTCCTTCTCCACCCTCTTCCCTCAGTACCGCGAGAAGTACCTTCAGGAAGCCTGGCCCTTGGTCAAGTCCGCCCTCAAAGAGTACGCCGTCGCCTGCGAGCTCAACCTCGTAAGTCCTTCCTCCTCCTTCTCCCAATTCATATTCACTCGACAAAGGTCGATCTTTCGCAGTTTAACAGCGCGCGATGATCCTATGATGTGCTTAGGTTGAAGGGTCGATGACGGTTTCGACTACCAGGAAGACGAGGGACCCGTATATCATCATCAAAGCTAGAGACCTTATCAAGCTCCTCTCTAGAAGTGTCCCCGCCCCTCAAGTATGCATTTTTTTCTCATCGCCTTGTTCATTTACTCGATTGGACATCCTATTCAATATGCAATCGAACTGATGATTATTCCTCTAAGCCTTTATATCGAACGGTTCTTCCATTTTTGTGCAGGCCATAAAAATACTGGATGATGAGGTGCAGTGTGATATTATCAAAATCGGCAACTTGGTCCGGAATAAGGTGCGTAATGCCTATGTTTCTCGGTACATGCTGATGTATCTTTTGTTTCACAAACAATGCGCGGAATATCTGAAAGAAGGGCCTCCCTCCTAGGTGCCAATTTGTTGATACTGGCAAATTTACCTCTTGTACATGACTGGTGGAACAATGTCAAACTTTTTTTTTTATTATTATTGTTGAGTTCGCCCCAGCCTTTTTTGGACTTTGAAGAAACCAGAGAAACACGCTTAAATGTCAACTTGTATGTCTAAGTAGCATATCTCGGTTGAACAATTGATCATGGATGCGTATTTATTCTATTCAATGTTCAATGGCTTAATCCTCTGGTTCCTTGGTTCTGTGCATGTCAATTTGGGAGAATTCAACCACGGTTAAAAACCACTGCCGTGCTTCAGTGTTAAGTGGGCTTGTGATCAAAAGGGGAGAAAAGCAAGAACTTCTTTTCTCTAGTTTTCTGGAATTTGGTTGTTGAAAGATTCCAAATAATTGTTGGTTCTTTAAAGAATGAAGTGGGAAGTTGTTATGACGATTCATGCTTGCATGATTTGCTTGAAATGCTATCGGTAGACCCTGCTTAGTTTTTATTTTCTTTGAATCAAACTTGGTAAATGTGTAGCTTAGAATCATGTCGAACTTTTAACTACTTGTAAGATTCTTATTGGCCTTGTGTGCTTTATGCAGGAGCGATTTGTTAAACGGAGACAACATCTTGTAGGCCCCAATTCATCCACTCTGAAGGTATATCAGTAAATGATTTCAGCCTGTTTGAATGATAGAATTTGCCTGTCCTCTTCAGTGTTCGAAAATCAAAGAGCTTAAACTTGAACGATAAAGAAGAACATTTGCGGATGTTTGAATGATTGATTTCTATTTATGCTGAAGCCATTGGTTAACCATATTACATTAAAATTCCCTTTCAAGTACTGTGTATGATTTTAAAATTCTTTTTGGCTGATGTCTCTTAATTTGTAACTTGGTGTGCAGGCTCTTGAAATTTTAACCAGCTGCTATATACTCGTACAGGTAATTGCTTGTTTCTGTTTTACAATAAGCATTCTCTTTGACAGTGTCTCCACCTCTCAGGTGCTGGAGAAACACTTTTTCATTTTGCCTTTATAATTGTAGGGAAACACTGTTGCTGCTATGGGGTCATTTAAGGGATTAAAACAAGTCAGGAGGATTGTAGAAGACTGCATCCAGAATAGAATGCATCCTGTGTATCACATAAAGGTAACAGATGATGGAATTTTTCTGCAATTATTGTCATCAGAACTTATTTCATGCTCTCTCTCTTTCTCCTTTTTATGTTAGATTCTCATGATGAAGAAGGACCTTGAAAGAGATCCCGCGTTTGCTAATGAAAATTGGGATAGGTTTCTTCCGAAGTTCAAGAAGTATGATTTCCTATTCTTTTGTTTACTTTAATGAGTTATATTCAGTGTTCCACCATCAGATGTTCTTGTGATGTTTTCTTTAATATCTGGGGTCACATTTGTCAGGAAGAATGTCAAACAGAAGAAGGTTAAGAGTAAAGAGAAGAAACCGTATACTCCATTTCCTCCTCCTCAGCCACCTAGTAAGGTGAGATTATTCTTTGTGATATGCAACATCTAAAATATAGTTGATGCACTAAAAATCAGATTGATGGATATGTCTCCCCGTGCAATTGCTAATTATCTATGGAACAGATTGATTGGCCCTGGACTGGTGCTGATCTGAACTTCTTCAGTATATTTTGTCCTATCTTCATTTGCTTAATTTCCGATTATATTGCTAGATTGATTTGCAACTAGAGAGCGGTGAATATTTCTTAAGCGACAAAAAGAAGTCTGAAAAGCAATGGCGAGATAAGCAGGAGAAGCAAGCAGAAAAAACTGCTGAAAACAAAAGGAAAAGAGAAGCTGCATTTATTCCCCCCGAGGTTCGACTCAAACAATTTTTACCCGGTCTTTTAAGATCAGGCCGTTCAATTTCCTGTCAATGTCTCTTGTTAGGTTTCTTGTCAATTGTGGTTATGCTTCAACAGGAATCAGTTAAGAAAGATTCTACCCAAGTTGGAGGTGATCAAACTGATGTTGCTGCCATTGCCAAGTCCCTTAAGGTAAGCTAGAGCCAAGTTGGTTGTGAAGTTACATTTTATAATTGCACCTGGTTCATTGAAGCTCACTAGTCTCTCTTACGTGCCCTTTTGAAGGGAAATCAATTGAATGCTTTCATAGTAGATGGGAACACGTCTGTCATAGTTAATGCAGATTTCCAAGTTAATTGACACGTGGTATAACTATGGCTGCAGAAAAAGGTGAAGGATTTTGGCAAGCAAAAGTCCATTGAGAACATAAACCCACAAGCATACATTGCTTCATCCGGAGAACAACCATCAAGGAAAAAATCTAAGCGGTCCAAGTCAGAGGGATCGGAGAATTCGTGATGCGGAGGCATGTCGTGACTTGTGACACTAGAAAGCACCGCAACTCTGCTCTGGCCGAATTTGCCTCTGAAACTTTTCAAGGAATGTGGAGTTGTGGACCAGTGACCGTGTTGCAGAGTTCGGAACGGTCCTGAACCCAATTTTGGAGAGTTCGCACCATCCTCAAGTAGTTTGCCTGTTATATGAAACTTAATGCCTATCGAGCATTCATTTGCCCGTTATATTTTATGAGGCTATGTCGTTGAGCTCAAACCCTTGCTCTTTAACCGTAACTTGTCCCTTTTCAGAACTTATAGTAATGAATTACCGAATTAATGGTCGGTCAAGTCACCTTATCACAAACGGTATTCTGGCAATTGGGTCCACAATTTCCTTTGGGGGTCGTCCTTTTAGCAATCGTATGTGTGGCGGGTGATATTTTGCTATTAAAAGACGAGGGCTGTGCCCACAATCCCGTTTATTGCTGTACCTCTGCACGCTTGTTTGTGGTTTCTTTTTAGCATCCTCACAAATCGTTGCATTCGCGCACTAAGAGAAGGATAGTAAATTCCCGTCTGACGCACCAAGCGCTGATTATATGCTGTCATTTCCCAATCAAAATAAGTAGGATCCCATATTCAATCAATCCCAGTAGTCCTAGATGAAAACGCATCATCAACACCGATTGGCAAAAGAAAAGGAATGGGAAGCAAGACGTTGACACGCTTATTGAGTAACTTGGTGGATGCTTTTCGTCGCCACACGCAGAACACAAATTGGTTTGCCTCACCAGCTAGCTAGTTGATTTAATCACAAAAAAAAAAAAAAGGATCCACGCTCTCCGACTTTAATAGCATTCAACTCTAAAAAAATCTCGAGAAATATAAGCTTCTAATGCAGAAACTTGTGGAGAACAAAAGAAAACTTATTCATAATAATAAACCTCTAGAAGCGAAAAAACTCTGGTGGAGAACAAAAGAAAACTTATTCATAATAATAAACCTCTAGAAGCGAAAAAACTCTGGTGGGAGAGTCAACAATATAAGTTGCGATGATCTGGTACATTATGGCACCATGAACTTTAATCAGCTCCAACAAACAAAACCACCTATGAGAATAAAAATTGCACCTCTCAAGACACCAGGACAATGTTCAAAAAACTCAAAAACATGACGACGACCAGCAGAACAATTAAACTGAAAAGTTTGTGACTACTACTACACAAGGGACAGTATCCAGGAAAGGAGAACTAGTGCGCGGAGCCACGAATATCGCATCCTCAATCCATCCTGCAATTACAGCTTGTCCTCGAACTCAGACAGCGGGGTCATCTGCTCCTTCAAGCCCTTCCTCTTGCGGATATCAGCAACCAGCTGAGATGCCTGAGACCCAGACTCCAGAGGATCGGACGACATCATATCCCAGTGGTCGAAGACACACTGAGGGAACGCCTGCCCAGAGGTTGCAGCTCTCAATGTACTGGAGAAACCGAAGGACTCGATAACAGGAAGGTAGGCCTTGATGTTGTAGAGAGGGGTTCCAGGCCTCTGCATCTCCTCGAACACATGCCCACGCTTCTGGTTAAGGACACTGTAAATACCTCCAAGGGCCTGCTCCGGAGCTTGGATCTCGACAAGGTAGACAGGCTCAAGAAGCCTGGGCTTGGCTGTCAACTGCGAAGCATAGATAACCCTCCTAGCAGTCGGAATGACCTGGCCACCACCTCTGTGAATGGCGTCAGCATGCAGAACGACATCACATACCTCAAAGCAAATACCACGCATATTCTCCTCAGCCAAAGCACCTTCTTTTGATGCCCACTGGAAACCAGCAACAACAGAATCCTTGATTTCATTGAGGTACTGAACACCCTTACACATATCAACAACCATGTTAGGTCCAGTAGTCTCAGGACCGAAGCACCAAATCTTCTTCGCAAGATCCTTATCCCAGCCAAACTCTTCAGACAAGATCTTTGAGCGAGCCTTGGGATCATCCCTGGGACCAATACGGCCATCATCAATGGCCTCAGCAAGCCCCTCCTCCAAAGGCCGAGCCTCCATGTACAACCTGTTGTGCTTATTGGGCGATTTGCTCATGACAGTACGGCACGATTTCTCCAACACAGTTTCACGGAAAGACACAACTGGATCTGACTTCACAATCTCAGCTCCGCCCATGAAGTCATCCTGCAAATCCTTCAGGCAAATTTCCAAATGAAGTTCTCCAGCACCAGCAATGATGTGTTCGCCAGATTCCTCAATGCTACATACCACCATAGGGTCCGACTTGGCCAGACGTTTAAGTCCTTCAACGAGCTTGGGAAGGTCAGAAGCCACCTTGCACTGAACAGCAACACGCACGACTGGGGAGACGGAGAATTTCATGGCACGGATTGGGTGGGCATCGACTTCTTTCTCATTTGTCAAAGTTGCATTCTTCGTGATATACTGATCAAGACCAACCAAAGCCACAGTGTTACCACAAGGCACATCCTCAACAGTCTCCTGCCTCTTTCCCATCCAAATAACAGTTCTCTGGACACTCTTCACATATAAATCCTTCTTCTCACCTGGGACGTAGTTGGGACCCATGATCCTGACCTTCAGACCAGTAGAGACCTTGCCAGCGAAAACACGACCAAAAGCAAAGAATCTACCCTTATCAGAAGCAGGAATCATCTTGGAGACATAGAGCATGAGAGGTCCCTCAGGATCACAGTTCCTAATGGCAGTGGCATATTGATCGTCAAGGGGGCCCTCATACAAGTTCTCAACACGATACCTCTGAGCCTTAGATGGAGATGGAAGGTGGAATATCATCATTTCCAACAGAGCAGTACTTGCCGGAAGCCAAGTCTGCATCACACGCTTCATCAATGCCTTACCCATCAAATCCTTCTCCTCAGACTTCATGGTGACCCCAAGCTTCTGTAGCATGGGCCACAGCTTATCTTTCTGGTCATTCATACACGTATTGATGATCTGCTTGATTGGCTCATAGCAGAACTGGACAAAACCACGCTTACATGTTGCAGAACCGGTGTTCTTGCTTGTCCATTTCTTGGTGGCAGGATCGAAGAAATTCTCACCCCACAAACGTTCCATCATCTTCGACTCGTCAACACCAAACTTGGATGCATACATCTTGGCGAAATTGGTGAGAGTAAAGGCCCAACCATGCAGACCAGCAGAAAAAGCAACAGTTCCTTTCTCTGGGTACACCTGGACATCACCAAGAAGGGGATCCTCATATGTGGCCATGATGACATTAGCATTCTCAATAACTCTTTGGAATGTTTGATATGCCTCCTCACCATCAACCTGCAGCTCGAGGAAGCATCTGTCCATCTTGTTGACAGTTAAGACAGGCCTGATCCTCTCACCCAAAGCCTGACGAAGAACAGTTTCTGTCTGGACACAGACACCCTCAACACAGTCCACAACCACTAACGCACCATCGGTAATACGGAGGGCAGCTGTGACCTCAGAAGAGAAGTCCACGTGCCCAGGTGAGTCGATCAAGTTGATCAGATACTCGTTGCCATTTCTCTCTCCCTTGTAGGTTTTTAAGGATTCGTCAGACATTTCATAGTATAGAGAAATTCCAGTAGACTTGATCGTGATACCACGCTCTGCCTCATCTGCACGAGTATCTGTCATACGAACGTCTCCAGCAACTTCCTGAGCAATAATACCAGCAGCAGCCACGAGGGAATCGGTGAGGGTGGATTTCCCTGCAAAGTCAAAAAAAGATCACCTCAGTCCAAATTAAATGCGGAGGAGATGTACAGAAAAGGTAGCAGAGGAATGCTAGATCAACTAGGGCTACTATGTTGAGGACACAGACAACCTAGTCTAAATACAAAGATACAACTGGTGAAACGTGAGATAATACATGAAATTGATTCAGAAGCTAGTTAATTGTCAAACAGATACAATAGCCCATGCTGTCAAAACAATTGATCATGGGAAACATACCGTGATCAACATGGGCGATGACAGACATATTCCGAATGTTGTGCTTGTAGTCCATGATTCTTCGGAGCTCATCAGCCGTGAACTTCACCTGCACCCACCAAAAAAGACTATTCAGTTGTGCATTCCAGCAGAAACATCAACATTTACTGGATTTTTTTTCCAGAAAAACAATCAATTGACACCAAACTCACCATCTTGACGGGTTCTTAAAAGGCACTCCTCCACAAAATTAGAAGAAATCTGCAAAGAGAAGGATCAAACCACATTCAGTGAACTAACATAAGAAAACGTGGACAATAATGAACAGGGAAAAAAAGCAAAAAGTCCCAGAACCGCATGCAAAATATATCTCACTAGTGACGGCAACACAATTCATCTTGAGAAGAGCCTTTGGAACTGTCTTTCACGAAAGAAATCCTACTACAGCTAGAAAAGCTGCAGCTTTACGATCCAGCGTATCGAGACAAGGTAAAAAAAATAAACAAGAACACCATAAACATCGAGATAGAACACCGCAGCCACGTCAAGATATTAAGCGACTGTAATATTCGTGAGGCAAGACAACAACAAAAACAAATTGAAGTTGTAGAATTTAAGAAATTATTTTCGAGGAAGCCAATAAAGCTCATGGAAATCACAAGACAAAAACACTATTCAAAACAACTTCTTTTCATACTTTGGATCGAACAATCGGCCATAAAAGAAATCGACAGAAAAAAAAGAAGCGACAGATCAGCGAATAAGCTAAGGAATACCAACCGCTACCAGCTCGACGAACATCATCAAAAGCAGGCACACAGGAAGCAGCAAAGGCGCAAAATCCCAGATCACGCAACACGGAAAAGACTCATTTTAAGCATCGGTATAATCCAAAGGGCCAAACTTTATCGGATACTCACAAAACAAACAGCATCCAGAAAACATGCAAACGGATCCAAACAAGCTAAATACAGCAGAAGAGACACCGACGGCCGATCCGACCACAAAGCCTCGCACCACATATATATAAACACACGAGAGGAAAAGAAGATGGCACCCGCTTAAAAAGAAAAAAACACGCCAGGAATCAAAACGATCGGAACAAGACCCAGAAGGCGGAGAGCAGGAGATTCGTTACATCTAAGAAGCGACGACGGCGACGACGGCGGCGGCGAAGAAGAAGAGAAGGGGGGAGAGGAAGAGGGCGTACCTGAGGCGAGGAGGGGAGAGGAGAGGAGAGAGAGAGAGAGGCGGCGAGAGTGAAGGCGAGGGTGTGAGCCACGGGGGTTGCTTTATATAGTAGTAGGGGAGGGGAGCGAGGATACCGAGCTGGGATGTGCGACGGATATGCCGCCTCTTCGAAAACCCTAATCTCTCTCTCTCTCTCTCTCTCTCTCTCTCTCTCTCTCTCAAATCCCCTTCGTTATACGGTGCGTTTTGCAAGGGGTGACTTTTGGGCTTCTCAGAGCCCATCTTCCCCGGCTTTTGGATATTTGCTATTGAAGCCCAACCCCGCTTTTGACCCACGCTATCTATATTTTACTCGATGCTTAGCGCAACTCCCACTTTCTCTCTCTTTTTCTGTTTTTTCCCCTTTAAACACACGAAGGGAAGCTTTCGTAGATTGACGGGTGATTCTACTTAGGGGTGAGCACCGGTCTCGTTCCAACCCAGGAATCGGATCGGACCGGACCGAACTGACCGGTTCTGAGTGGTTCCCAATTCCACGTAAGGAATTTGATTCACCGACCGATTAATATTTCTTAATTTTTATTCTCTATTCTGAAGTAAACCCTGCTCAGTAAATTTTTTTTCTCTTTTAATATTGGGGAACTCCCACTTGTTGGGAACAGAAGTAACAAAAGAAGAAGAAGTGGAAGAAATTAGTCCGATTCGGCTCTAGGATAGGGCGGGCTGGTTCCCGGTTCCACAAACTGGGAACCGACCCTACCTAGTCCATTTCCAAGTTTTAGAGTGGGTTAGTTCCTACTTTTGAAACCCATTGATAAAGTGGGAACATGATGCTATGAAACCGATCACCCCTAATTCTATTGTTCCATTCCAAAAAAAAAAACGGCGTTTTTCTATTAATGATTTCTGAAAGAATTGATAAATATTAAGATTTTGTTGGTGGAGATAATTAGTGATCACGTAATATCTCTTTAGACTATATGTGTTACTCGTTGACCTTTTTTGGTAAAATTATTAACTCTTGTTCCGTAGACTATAAATTATCAACGGTTCTTTTCTTTTTTGTTCACTTTTATTTGTTTTCTTATTAACACGTTAAATTTTCCAAACTGTATTTATCAACGTTTTATTCGAGTGACATACTGACTTTTTTACCAATTAAATTAACGGCTAATTTTTTTTATCACTAACTCTTACTTGAATTACTTACCAACTTTTATTTGGTTCCTTTTTAGTTTATCAATTTTTGTCATCGTTACTAATTTTTCTTTGTCTCTCTTCCAATCACCTTAAATTTTTTTATCTCTTATACAAGTATACTAATTTTTATTAGTGTGACTTGCCATTTATACTCCCCTTAGGTTATTGACAAGTTTTGGTTTACTAAGTCTCATTTGAGTTGCTTACCAATGGTTCTTCTTCTTTTTTTCAAAATTTATTAGCTTTTCTATCATGTCATCGACTTTTATATGTCATGCTTACTAACTCGTTTAATTTATCATTCTTTTTAGAAATTACCAACCTCAATTGAAGTGATTGATACATATCAAGTTACCAACAAGCTTTGCGTTGCCAATTTTTATATGAGTTGGTTACCATGTTTATCAGGTGAATTCCTTGTGATTTCATAGATTTTATAACAAACTTTCTCTGATTAAGTTAACATTCAATTTTGTGTAACCAATTCTTATTTGAGTTGCTTATCAACGTTTTTTTTTTCTAAATTTACCAATTCTTCGAATGACTTACCACTTCAATTTGCCTTACTTAACAACCCTCTTTTTACAATTGAATATGAAGTAATTTTGTATTACCAACTCTTATTTGAATTAGTTATCAAAGTTATTGATTACCATTTAAAATTACCAAATTCTGTTATTTCTAACAGAAAAAATAGAACTTCTCTTATTGTTTACTAACTTTTATTCAACTCTTACCAACTCTTATATTTACCAACTATGTAAAATTACTAACCTTCGCTCAGAGACTTACCAATTTTATTGTCGATAAAGTAAGCTACTAAAAAAGTCGATACATCAGAAAAAATAAAACGTTGTTAACTAACTCTAATATGGGTACTTAACCAAAATTAGTTGATAACTTAATTGGAGAAACTTAGAAAAAATTAAATTTAGTAATTTTATATAAGAGTCGGTAAATATAAGGCACAATTTGAAAAAGGTAAAATAAGAATGGGTAAAAGATAAGAAAAGTTATTATTCAAAAGAAATGTTTCCTAAGAAAAGTAAATTAACTTAGTAAGTAACTCAAATAAGAGTTGATGACCAAAAACTAGTTGACAACTTAATAAGAAAAAAGCATCACGATAATTATGGTGGGTAATCTCTAAAAATGTTATTGAATATTAGCGGTTAACAAAAACAATTAAACAATGGTGAGTCATACAAATTAGAGTTGGTAATCCCAAACCAGTTGGGAATTTAATCTGACAAAAGTTGGTTAATCACTCTAATTTAAGTTGGTATTTCATATGAAAGTTATAAATTCGATGCATTGATAAGTTATACAAATAAAATTTGGTAAATTAATACAAAAAATTCTAATTTGCAAAATATAAAATGACTTGTCAATTTTACAATAGTGTGCATAAGTTATTAATAAATTACCCGAAAAAGGGCCGTTGATCCTATTTTTTATCGACGGTTTTTTTACATTTACCAACACAAACTGAAATTTACTGGTACGGAAAGATATCCAAAATTTGAGCACGAAATAATAGAATTCTGCAATAAAGATATATGGAAGAGAGTCATAATTCATGACATATCATAAACTAAAAATAAATCAAATACTAGTGGATCAGCAACAAGTCAGAAACTATCGATATCTCTCTAGATAATTGAGCTAAGCCACCATTCAGAAATCATGTGAAGCTCATGAGCAAGTATAATAATAATGGTTCAAAACATGCATAGCAGCAAAGCTAAATATATAAGATTCAAATTGGAATGATCTCCTGTACACACAACCTCATTAACTCAAACTTTTATGTACTAAGCAAGGCCAGCGAAGTTATGATTTAAGCTGCATATGTATCTACAAGCGCAAAGACTACTGATGATGATGATCAAAGGCGAACTCTACGACAGATCTAAGCTCATCCCAGTTCTCATAATTGAGGTGCTCCATCACATCCGAGCTAAATTGGCTGGAAGACGAGGCTATGGATGGAGCTTGCAAGTGAGAAGTCGAGCTGAATGCTCCCAAGGCACCCAATTGCATTTGATGCTGGTTCTTCTCGGTTGAATGATGACCAACCACAACTGGCTTCTTGTCGTTATGATGATAGTTGGTGACATCTACAGGAGCACCAAAGTTGATGTAACTTTCCTGGTCACTGTACTCCATACTGCATGTTTTAGAGCTGCTTGTATCCACCACTGCTGCTGTAGGTTGTTTGCGTGGTAGCTCTCTCCAATCCGGGGTGTACTTCTTGTACGAGATGTTGCGCTTGAAGATTCGGCATACCGTCCAAACTTCCTGCAATTTCATGCAAAATTAATCGGAAGCTCATTGTATGAATGACCCCATGAATTCAACTAGTCAAGAGTAATACCGGCATTCTTCTACACGATTGATACAATAAAACTGTAGAGATTACAAGTGACTATTTGAACAAATGAACCTTATTCCACACCTACTAGAAGTTTATCGCATCACTTAGTATTTTGTAAGCAAGTCTTAATAACCCTAGCTTTATTCTGTAGTTGTCCAAATGGAAACAAAATATCAAATCTGACCCTTTGTGAGCTCAAAGCTTGCGCATGTTTGAAACTTTGGTTTAGCCTAGAGGATCGAGATTCTGGCCAGATTACATCGATACTTACAGCTTCTTGAGGAGTGGATTTATCAATGATGGAACTGTTGGGGCTAGGGCTATCAACAGGAAGACGAAACTCATGCATCATCCAATCGGTTTTGGTTCCTTTCCCAGCGCATCCACGATAATACACAAGAGTCTTCTTGAGTCCAATGCACTCATGGCCTTCTCCTCCATGAGAGTACACAGGTTTGTCGATGCCGGTTGCTTTCCAAAAGCCGGATCCTGTGACTCGGTTAGGTCTTATACTGTTCCTGTACTTTCTTCCCCTCTTGCAAAAGAAGTACCACTCCTTGTCTCCTGTATCACTTGCTTCTGTTGCCAATCAAAATCTACTTCAGTGAGAATAGATAGATCTCATAATCTTGTTTGATAGTTTTAGAAAAAATATCATCATCATTTCCATCAAAATGGACAACCCCAAAAAAGCTATTGGGCACAATACCACTAGTTTTTGACCTAGCCATCCTTTGAAACGAGTCGAAGGGCATGGATATTCATGATATTGCGGAGAAATTAGAAAAATTTGCTAGACCTTTATTATTAATCTGAACATCTCACAAGACTATAATAATTAGACTACTTGTTATCTCTATTGATTTTGGGGGCTTTTTGAAACATAGAAACATTCAAAAGTGATCATGGATGATAAGGATATATCACAGGTAGAAATTACGGAATACAAACTTATCTCATGGTTATGAAATCATCTCTTAACACTTTCAACTGCGAGCTTGCATATGAAAGAAAGAATACGTTTTTTTTGGAGGTCAGCTAGCATAAGATAGTTACATAAAGTTCAATTGAATAGTATAGCTTTCTTGACTATCAGTGCGTTTATGAGACGGTTGATTTGGCTGGAAATCGCATGCGTGATGTGCAAGAACCCCATGTTAACTAAAATTAGGGTTGTTCTCTCCATCAGCTCATTTTATTTTAGCAAAGAAACCATCTGTTTTCAAAGTACTTCAGCACGTCGGTATACACCATCTTTTCTTTAGTCTTAAAGTTAACCCTAGATTATCCAGTTAAGTCCACCAGTCATGCGAAAACCTTAAAACAGTTGATGATGCATATATGAAATCGTCAAGAAACTAATAGAATAGAGATGAGAAAACAATCCAGGATTTCACTTCATGTGTTGCTGGAATAGAAAGATCACCAGCAAGAAACAGAAAAGTCGTACTTGGGAGATCCCAGGGGTCATATTTATAGATATCGATCTGGTTGATGAGATGATCGATCTTCATGGGCTTCTTCTCAACTTTCCTGTGAAGATAAAACCCTACCAGCTCTTCATCCGTCGGGTGAAATCGAAACCCTGGCAGAGGAACTTCATCATCCGGCTTCGAGTTCGCTGCATCCGGGGATGTCATTTCTTTTTTCGCCCTATAGCTAATTTCTCTCTTTATCAAGGAAGAGATCACCATTAGGAGTGCACTTCTGAGAAACAGGAGAAGCTTCTTTATAACGCCAAGTTAGTGAAAGTGATTAGTTTCAAGGTCAAAGTCAAGAGGTTTGACTATTTGCTTGTATCAGCTAAAATTGAACCAGATATTGAGAGGTGGGAACGAGTCTTTCAATTTCGGAGCCTCTGTGAAAATTACAGATGACTTTTTTAAAGGCCCCAGAAGCTAAAGCGTTTTGTCCCAACTCATGTGCACTTCAAACTACAACATAAACTAGTCAAAGCCACCAATAATGGCAAGAGTGGACCCGACATGGGAGAAAATTTAATAGCTCTCTATGGCTGACATTAGAAGCATTGAGACCAACCTTACTTTAGACGATCTATGCGCGGAAATGGTCTACATAATGGGAAGAGAATTTGGTTGAATAATTAAAAAAAAAAGCATGTCATCACCCAAGGATCCAATGACAATGGGGCAGTTACCATAGATAGGGAGTTTGGAGTCGGGCCACGTCCAAAGGCATCTACCAGAATCGTTTAGAAATGGTCTTTGAACTGTCTAATAACCTAATAGGTTGCATGAGTGAGATATGGATACAATCGAAGACGAATTCCACTTCGTATATTTGAAGAATCTCACAAGCGAAGTTGAGAAAGAGCAATAAATATATTCAAATGGCTCGTTACACAGTGATTCAAGTTTCTAGCAAAATCAAGTCAAATTAGGTATAACAGTGAGTTGAAGAATAAGAAAACTTGATTGCGTTTTCCCCCCTAAATAACAGTGGATGATTTGATTACGCTTATTGAAAGGTAAAAGAGGAAAATTACCAAGAGAGTCATAAACCGAATGCATTTGTGCCAATTCAGTTATAAACTTTTTAATTGTGCCAATTGAGTTCTAAACATTATTCCCGTTTTGCCAATTGAGTCTACCCAGCCAATTTTCGCCGGAAACTACTGACGGAAATGCCGTCCTACGTGACACCGCAGGTGCTAACGTGGACATTATTAATAATATATTAAAATATGTTAGTATAATTATAACTGCCACATAAGATTTGGCATCGGGGTGTCCATGGGTGAAGTCGCGTGTTGGCTTTGAAATACGAGTGTAGGAGTAGAATCGCACATGAAGTAGTTGTAGCTTAGAGTAGTTAAAATGTTCACTTCCCTTCTTTACTAGGCATTAACCTTTCACCGCGGCAATGTGCGAGCCCCGTTCTAGTGTTACACTATACAAGAACAGTGTTCTGGTTGCGAGGGTGATATTAATATGACGCCTTCTTTTTTGCTATTCTTGTTCAAAGAGATGAAATTTGACTTGATTGGACTATGTACAGGAAATAAGGGGTGGATATAAAGTCAAGATCTTCTCTTCAGCACACCCATAACGTAATAAAAACCGTACCCTAGATGAGACCAATTCACGTCCATCTATACTTCCAAAATTAAGAAAACTAGGATCTACGCACCCTTCGACGTACCTGGGACACATACACCAAGGGGTGTAAAACTGGTCCCTGTGAAGCATGTGCGTTGAAAGTATTACCAAATCAAACGCAAACGAATTCTTCTCCGTTGAAACCTTCATTCTGAATAATGGCTTGTCCACGTAAGAAATGGACGGGCTTCCAGATGGTCGTCGACACAATATTTGACCAACCCTAAGATGGTGACAAGGAAAGCAAAATGCGAACCTTTTCATGCGCCTGTCAGTAGCTGTGCGAGCTCCAATATTCAAGGGAATGAAATGTCAAAACAGGGTGCGTGTGAGAGTCCCTAAGTGACACGGTTTTTTTTTTTTTTTTTAATTTGAAAAGATGGATGGATGGTGTTATGGCGCAACTACGAAGAGTTTGGGAATCGATGCTCACAAATCATTTCAATATGCCTACGACGTTTTCCGCATTAATGGAGGAGGAAGAAAGGATTCCGAGTCTTTTTTTGACATTTTGAGATGCTCAATCGAGGCTTCCAGATCAAAGTGGCCACTTTGTCGTCAACGACGGTTCTTTTTTCCGTTTCCCTACAAAACAGGGAAGTTCCTGTTCACTTGCCTTTGATTGATGCAACCCGACAAGCCACAAAGTTTCATTCATCATGAAATATAGTTGCATATGTAACGATCAACCATCGGTTTATTTTTCTTTTCTGCTGGGATAGAATGTCGGTGAACATTTGTTATGTTCAGCACAGCACAAGTCAGGCTTACAGAATTACAGTAAGCTTCTAAAGCCTACTCACAAGTGAATTAAAAGAGGAGACATTATTTGCTTTCAACATGCGGATGCACGCACCTAAAATGCAGTATCGTCTGTTGGAATTTGGTTTTCTTTGTTTTTTTTATTGCCTTGTGTAGCTAGCTTTGTTTGTGATCCATAAGACGGCAGCCCACTTTTTAACAATAATTTCTGACGTGGAGCAATTGATGGTAAGAGTAACCAGAGGAAAAGCAAGAATGGCTTCTCATAACCTTTTTTTTTTTTGGGTCAAAAGCTTCTTAATAACTTGAAGAACGCAAAAATTGCTGGCCGTATAATTTCCATCCGAGATTGTCAAAGGGTTCTAGTTCGTTGACGGTTGACACCGGCTCAACGGGCCGCACCAATTGACTGCTTCAAGAGCTTTTGTCTCCTATCAAAGTTGAAAAGAGTTGTGCCTGGCTTCATCGTCAATTTTGGTTCCATCCGAGCACTTGTAATTTGTCTCGCAATGCAGGGAATTAATGAGGTCGAATTAAGATCCTTACTTTACCTCCCTGCCCGTTTAGCCTTCCCATCTTTTACTTTTTTGATAATTCCGGGATACGCATGGGATCGGCTACCGAGAGGTTCATGGAATAGAATATCTTATGAACCGGTTAAATTCAAGTCTTTGACTTGTGTAAGTGTCTCTTAAGTTACCTTCCCTTTATTTAGGGCTAATTACATTGAGAATGTCTCTTTCATCAACGTCGCAATTTACAAGAAGTTCTCTTATGCATCGTGACATTGTTCAAGACAAAAGGGGAAAAGAAGGACTTACAACCGATCACAGAGAATGTGATGCCGTTTAAGGATTTACGGATCCTTTAAATTTTTTATAAAGATAAATGGCGTATACCATTCTCCATCTCTAATTGGGCAAATTTCTTCTGACCATGCATTTAATTGGTGGGTTCCACGGTCTGAACATATGGGCGATGCACATATCCTGTGTAACCCACAAATGAAAAGATTGGTCGCAGGAAATTTTCTTCGAGTAGAGATGAAGTAAAACACGGCCCGGCAAGAAATTTACTCATGTAAAAAGCCGAGACAAAAGCACAAAATGGGATTAACGGTCTAGATTTACCTGACAAAAGAAGAACTTATAAACCCTAATTTCCTTAGCTCTCATTTTCCTCTATATGTCAAATGGCCTGCCACAGCCCTCGTCCTCCATCGACAGGCCGGAAACCGTATCACCTCCGATAGCAATGAATGTGCGTTCTCATATTATCTTTCCCAGCGATGGTTCAGAGTAAAAATTCAAAGAGAAAGCTTAACGCTTTGCATTTGTTGCGCGTACTTCTGTATTTCTAAACTCGACGCCCCGAAAGACGTGTTTGAATTTCTGAAGTAATCGAAGTGGCAATGAGAAGAGACGAGCTAAAGCATTAGTATCGTCCAAAAGTGAAGATATTTGGTGAATATGTGTATTCGGATATCGACGTGATGATAAGGTCAGCATGAACAATCTTAAGTAGAAAAGTCCACGCAAACGGGGATGAGGACGTTTTCAAATTAGAAAACAGAGCCTGTTTATGGTTAAACATGGAAAATGAGATATACATTATCTTCGCATCCTCTATTAAAAATTGAAGGTGGACCCCCGATTGATAAGCCTGTGAGGCCATGACGTACGAAACAATAATGACATATATCGGATTTCATATGCATAGGATGCATGGCTCAATGGCACAAGCTCCCGAGAGGGTGACTCGGGTAATTATGTTTACTGAAATACGAGAGCGCAGGACGGGTTTGGGGATCGATACTCATCTGGCTGGTTTCGCTCTTGTTTAACTTTGTACTCCGATGTGCTCTGAGACTATTCTCTTTTCCTGAACAAATTAGGCAGGCAACGTAGACAAAGAAAGACAACATTCTCCGCGCTGACCTTAAAATATAGAATTAGATTAGTATTCTCAAAGAACAAAGGACCTTGAACATGGAAAAATCACGTCATAATACCATGAAAGGCATACCGTATATCGTTTGATGGTTTACATAAATCGCCAATTGTGTACCAAATGTGCTCAGCAGACAAAAGAACAATTGTTTATTTATGTGAGATGGGGATGGAATGGAGAAGACCCAGAAGAATCAACTTCGCAACTCCAGAACCAAGAACCGGTCCGGTCAACCCTAGAGGAAAAAGAAAGGCAGGAAGATAGAAAGATAGCATGAAAAGGTCAAGGGTCAAGTTTCTCAGTCAAAGAACATGAAACGGCCCTTTGAATCTTCAAATTCGTTGAAACGACGACCCCTTTACAAGATAAAGTAGCATAAGACAAAACAATCGGAAGATAGCTATTATTACTTTTTGCCATCTCTGTTCCTGTGGTTTTTTTGAGGTTGGCTTTGACACAGGCTTCTGGTCTGGGTGGTTTGAAAGTCAGCATGCGTTTCAACTTGATATACTGACTTGGCATCCCCTTCCTGTATTATCATACGACAAGCCTGAGATAAGGCAGCCAGTCAGATTCTTTACAGTTTAAACAAGTCCTGAATTAGGTATTTAGCTGAATAAATCTTGTTTGAGACGTAGAAGAATGGAAAATGCCGGCCTATTATAGATAGTCAGAAGAGAAGAGTAACGGCAGAGCAAAAGAGGAAGCAAAAGCCTCTGATCTTATGCTCCCTATATTTCATGGAAATTTTGACATTTTTGAAAAATGTTTTTCATCAAGTCATTTTACTAAAAGGTGGTAATATTTTCCGGTGTTTGACCGAAATTTGCTGAAAATTATTTTCCTTCGTTTAGAT